ACGGAGAATCTTGCGGTGACGCTTAGCTCCGCCCTTTCCGAGACCCTACGACCACGACGAGGTGCAATGTCAGTACACTCAGAGTTTGAAGCCAAGCGAGTTGCTCACCTTGCCACCTTTGCCACGGCTGACATGTTGATTGAGTATGAGAAGTGTGTAGGGATAAAGTCTTGAGGAGCGACTGCGGAGTCGGTGGTGGTGGTTAAGACCAAGGAGCGAGTTGGTGTGACAGCCGTGACCAAACGAAGATTAGCGTGTTGTTATGGTTGATTGACGCATTGTTGTCCGATGTTGCAGTGATCCTCTCCAAAGCGATCGCGAGCTCTCAAGTCAATCATATCTGAACTGGTCTCGTTTCACATCTCTGAAGTTTGGAAGCATGAAGTGGATTTCAATATATATATATATATATTCAAAAAAAAATCCCCTAGAAGATCCCGAAATGAGTCATTCTTTCAAGTCGGCCGTCTACTGATTTGCAGTCATAACACGGCGTCGTTCACTAGAAAAATGCAGAGACTTTCATCTCTGCATTTCTATCTTGAACCTCGAGACCGCAGCAGATTCGAAGCGGTCAATATGATGCGGTCAAGATATATTTTCAAGTCTGGACCAGAGACACACGGCAGGAAATCTCAGCTTCGGACACTAAGGCACGGGCTTGTCTTCCCGCTCAGGCGAGTCCCCCCTCCTCCAGGGCGATTTGACTCCGAGTTGTTGATTGTCACCAACTGGTCAGTTGACGGAAGGGATATGTTGTCACTGAACCATTGGGATGCTCTGTCGGAGGTTTCTCAGACATAGGCATTCTATTAGAAAGAAGATCTGACTCGCGGCCATGGCCTTCCGTCGCTTTTGATGTTGGTTCAGGAAAGTTTGTTACGAGATCTCGATCGTCACCAACGCTCACAGACTTCCAAGCGCCAAAGCAGTCTTTGCATATTGATATGCTGGTCAATATCTCAAATTAAACTATCGTATTTAGTTCGATAGAATGAAGAATTTTTGAATCACGGTCGCACGTTATTTTCGACTCAGCACTTACCTCCTACAATCTCTATCTAATAGATCTTGTCTTGCTTGGATCTTCCCCACAGATAAATTACATTTCTTTCGCGCGGCCGCTTGAGCCTTGGATATTTCTCGACGTCTGATGCTCAGTCCTGCATCTCAGTCGAGTTCAAGACGGAAGAATAAATCATCAAGGGTGGGCTCTCTTACGGAATAAAGCAGACACCAGTACCAAATGAATCTCAGCTCAGAAAACTTTGTTCTTCGTGAACAGCGGCGAGAGGAAGCGTTGTGATGAGGCGATTTAGATGCAAATCAATATCTGTGTCCATGAGCGTCAATCTACAACGAAGTCCAGACTGGAGCTTGCACACATAAATATCGGGAAAGAGGTGCTATTCGGTTGATATATTATAATGGAAGGGTTACCTGGTGGGAGACTAAGAACGAAGTTCCATAGATGAATATGATCACAGCAAGCGCGATAGACGCGAATATGGTCATGTGATCGTGTGGAGGACTGACGATCAGATGACTCGTGGAATGACTGGCATGTCTTGTCGCTGCTCGTCCACGACGGCCGACGCCCTCAAGTTTTGCGCACCATATGCGCTAGCTGAACAGAGACCGAACAGTATCACATGACACAGGGCTTTCCGTGACCTGCCTCGACGCCCGTCCGATTCGTGCAGTGGCCTTCGTGCTCAACGCATATGTCGCATACGTCATGCATCGCGAGCTGACGATCTGAGCATCGGGACCAGTTCAGCATATCGAAGACTAGCCCAGAAATTCGGCCGGAGCTCTGTGGTAGTTTGGGTCCCGGTCTATCATGTTCATTCTCGCATCTTCGACGGCATTCCACTCGGTTCCATGACATTCCACCCTGTGCCGCAGCCCCCACCGACGTTCTACCCGTTTCGCGCACATTCTATGGAGTGGGTATATTAGCTGACGGTCTCGCAGCAGCTCTCTTCATTCTTTCCTCTCTTCTTACAAGCCCATTTCCCATCTTCTCATATCTAACCGTCTCTCTACAATGTCTTCATCGAAAGCTATTGGAATCGACCTGGGCACTACCTACTCGTATGTTGTTTTGGTGATTCTTTACAAATATTAACTATGCACAGATGTGTCGGCGTCTGGCAAAACGATCGTGTCGAAATCATCGCCAACGACCAGGGCAATCGCACGACGCCCTCATATGTCTCATTCTCTGACGGCGAGCGTCTCATCGGTGACGCCGCAAAGAACCAGGTCGCAATGAATCCGCGCAACACGTATGTCCTACCCTGCGCCCTTGAGATGAGATATCCTTACTGACGCTCTTTCAGTGTATTTGACGCCAAGCGTCTGATTGGCCGCAAGTTCGACGATGCCGAAGTGCAATCTGACCTCAAGCACTTCCCCTTCACCGTGTTCAGCAAGGCTGGCAAGCCATACATCCGAGTCGAGTATCGAGGGGAGGAGAAAGAATTCGTGCGTCCGCCTTGCTCCTCCGCTTTGATTCAAAACTGACTTCAGCCACAGTCCCCCGAAGAGATTTCTTCCATGGTGCTCCTCAAGATGAAGGAGACGGCCGAAGCGTATCTCGGCGGCACCATCACGAACGCGGTCGTCACGGTCCCGGCCTACTTCAACGATTCCCAGCGCCAGGCGACAAAGGACGCCGGCACGATCTCGGGCATGAACGTCCTCCGCATCATCAACGAACCCACCGCAGCGGCTATCGCATACGGCCTCGACAAGAAGGTCGCTGCGGAACGCAACGTCCTCATCTTCGACCTCGGCGGAGGAACGTTCGACGTGTCCCTCCTGACCATCGAGGACGGTGTCTTCGAGGTCAAGGCTACTGCCGGAGACACGCACTTGGGTGGCGAGGACTTTGACAACCGTCTGGTCGACCACTTTGTGCAGGAGTTCAAACGCAAGAACAAGAAAGGTGCGTCTCACTGTTTGACGGGCGAAAGAGCAATGGCTGACCGTCAAACAGATCTTTCGACCAATTTGCGTGCAATCCGTCGCCTCCGCACGCCTGCGAGCGGGCCAAACGCACGCTCTCCTCAGCGCCCAGACTACGATCGAGATCGACTCGCTCTTCGAGGGCATCGACTTCTACACATCCCTCACGCGGGCCCGTTTCGAGGAGCTCTGCGGCGACCTCTTCCGGTCGACTCTGGATCCTGTGGAGAAGGTCCTGCGCGACTCGAAGATCGACAAGGCGAACGTGCACGAAATCGTGCTTGTGGGCGGGTCGACGCGGATTCCACGCGTGGTCAAGCTCGTGTCCGACTTCTTCAACGGCAAGGAGCCCAACAAGAGCATCAACCCCGATGAGGCGGTCGCGTACGGCGCAGCCGTCCAGGCCGCGATTCTCTCCGGCGACACGTCCGAGAAGACCAGGACGTGCTGCTGCTCGATGTCACCCCGCTCTCGCTCGGCATCGAGACGGCCGGCGGAGTGATGACGCCGCTGATCACAAGGAACAGCGTGGTCCCGGCGAAGAAGACGCAGGTGTTCTCGACGTACGCCGACAACCAGCCCGGAGTGCTGATCCAGGTGTTCGAGGGCGAGCGCGCGCAGACAAAGGACAACAACCTGCTCGGCAAGTTCGAGCTTTCGGGCATTCCTCCGGCTCCTCGTGGTGTTCCGCAGGTCGAGGTCACGTTCGACATCGATGCGAACGGGATCGTCAATGTCTCTGCGTCGGACAAGACGACGGGCAAGTCGAGCCGCATCACGATCACCAACGACAAGGGCCGTTTGTCGCAGGAGGAAATCAATCGCATGGTAAACGAGGCAGAAAAGTACAAAGGTGTGTAGTTTTGCTCTAGTCATATCTTCTACAACGACTGACTCTTTTCTCAGCTGAGGACGAAGCGGTCGCCTCCCGTGTCGCGGCCAAGAACGGGCTCGAATCCTACGCGTACAACCTCCGAATTCAATCAACGACGAGAATCTCGCGAACAAGTTCCAGCCCGGCGAGAAAGCGAAGCTCGAGGGTGCTGTCAACGAAGCTATTTCGTGGCTTGATGCATCGCAGGAGGGCTCCAAGGAGGAGTATGAGGAGAAGCAGAAGGAGCTAGAGGCCGCTGCCAATCCTATCATGCAGAAGCTATATGGTGGTGCTGGGGCCCCTGGGGCTGCTCCATCGGGTCAAGCTTCAGGCGAGGAACCGAGTGTCGAGGAGGTTGACTAAAGACGGCTATGCGGACTTGCTCTGTCACGAAGATGTGTTATATCCCGTCTCGCGTCCTTGCCGCTGTCTTATACCACGTATTATTATACCTCCGCTGTATTCTCTTTCGCGTAATCATTCCAATTGTATTCAGTATTCATTCTAATCCTTTTGGCTCGTGAGGATCCTGCCAAATTCCACACTCAATCCTTAGTTCATGCTGACCGGAAGCTCGGAAGAACTCTATAAGCAGATATGTCGGAAGCGGCCGGATTATTTGATTCCAGGCCTTCGCTCCTTTATTCATACTCTCGGTAAGAGTCCAGGACGTCTCCTCACGCTCGTCAAGAATCACTATCCGATCTCACGACTTTCCTGCCAGCTGACTCGCAAGGCTCGGCCCCCGTTCCCTTTTGACTAGCCTGTGTCTCAAACCATATCATTGGCTACTCCCGACTGCACCCTGACCACCGGCATTTTCGGTGTCTGGATATGTCCCTTCCCTTTCTCACGTATAATGCTCGACATGCAAGTCCCTGGTAAGATCTACGGCCGCCCTTCGACCGCATGTGATTTCTCGCGTTCTTTATCAGTCTTTACGAACTGAAGAATCTCTCCTGACGCTTTGATACGACATCACAGTGCGCCTCTCGCGCTTCCCTCCCTCTCTCCCACCACCATGCCTGTGCGGACCAGGGCCAAAGCTTCAAGCCCCGACGTCAAGTTGGCGCCGCTGCCGACCGAGGTGCAGCGTGAGATTATGCGCCTTGCAGGAGTCATCGAGCCGGGGTGTATGCCCAAGATGATGCTCGCTTCGAAGAAAGTGCGAGACTGGTACGTGTCCCCCACCCTCGCCGACACCCCCCACCGATTCATCTCGACCCGAGGGTCGAACCTTGGATCTACCGTGTGCTTCGAATCGACTCTGTTTCCCCCGAAAGCCTATTATTTCAAGAGCTTCTGGATGGGAAAAAGCGCAACAAGACAACGACAGCCGAGCGCTCGTGGACGCCATTTCGCGTGCACACCTTACAGATAGCTTTCATAGGCCAGATTCGACCCGACCTCGTCGAGAAGGTCCTGTCGATCTGCGTCGCGGCGACAGACACCGCGTTCTTCGACCTCCCCTTCTCGCTGAACCCGACCATCACCCCCCTGCTCGAGTCCCGCCCCCTGCGCCGGCTGACGGTGCAGTTCAAGGACCTGTTCCCATCGGACCAATCGCTTCGCGTCGATTTTACGCAGCCGCTGTTCGCGTCGATCACGCACATGAACATGCTCGACGCGTTCGCGACGGGCTACCAGAACTGCGAACGGATCGGACGGATGCCGGCGCTGACGCACATCGCCTTCCGCGAGCAGGCGGGCTCGAACAACTTCTGCCGCATCCTCTTGGCCGACTGCCCGCTGCTGCAGATGCTCGTGATCATTTCCTCGGAGGAGTCGCTGTCGATGTATTACAAGGACGCGCGGGCCCCGTTCACTGAGGATAAACGGCTGGTGCAACTGGTGCTGAAAGACCCTGCAGATGATTGGGTGCGGGGAACCCTGGGGGAGGATGACGTCTGGACACGAGCTGCTGCGATCATACGTCAAAGATGATGATGCGCGTGGGATCGAGATTGGAATACACCCCCACAAGTACCGACTTACTTACCATGATGAGCTAGCGAAGACATTCGAGATGATATAAGAATCTGCGCAAGCAGGGCTGCACTGACTTGAGTCGATCCAAGCACCACGCATTCACCTCGCGACTTACGGCTGCGTTGAAGGTCGTGAGTAACAGAAGCTTCAGTTGCCCTACCTACCTGCTATATTTGGTAGAACCTATGACCCGCACTTTCTTCACGGATCAGCGCTCGTCTTGTCCGTGAAGAGAGATCTAGAGAGATCGGTCATCGGTCGATGCAAGTCGAATATGTAAGCCTCATTGGCTGAAGTCTCCGGCCGGGCCGCAGCGAAAGCGCGAGCGCCAGACTCATAGTCATGGTCATGGTGTGCGTCACTCGGCGTGCAACAGTTGTCTCTGGCGCACTTTTTGGGATTCTTGGACTCGTCTTGGACCTACTCATGCCCTATCGCTCCACTTGTGCTTCATCGTTCCTGTGGCCTAACCTATTACGGGGCAACACTGTATCGATCACGCTCTTGAGCGCAAGAGACGGCCCTGGGTTCTTGACTGCAGATGCAAAGTCTCAGCGGATCTGCTGCCGTCTTTACCCGGATGCTCTTTGATGTGTCTAGCCTTTCTGTTCAGAGGCTGCGATGAACGAGGGTTCCGCCATTCTCCTCAGCTGACTTGATGTATCAAGGTTATCAAGTCGAGCAAGGAAAGGAATCTCCTAGTTTGCTTGGCTGTTTCATGCTTCCGTCGGCATTTTGTCACTTCTCCTCACAACGAACAGATTCTGCAGTCCAACTACTTGAAGGCTTTCTACTATCAGACCAATGGGTCTTCAATTCTTCCTATGGTTTGTAAATCCTCCGGGTCATCATGTTTCTATCACGAAGAGTCCTCCCATTTGAATCGTGCCCGCTCTCCTATCGATCTCGGTAGGATGAGGCCCTCGAGCTGACTCCGCGAACCCCGAATCACTATCCCAGCGCATTTCAAATGCATGCGCTCCACCTCAAATCCAATGGCCAGCGGAACGCCCGTCTGGCTGCCATCTGACATGCTGGCTTGGTCATCCTCAATCTTTCATGGATATAAGGCCTCCTCCTCCTGTTGGCACAATCGTTGTAGCATCCTTCAATGCCACACTCGACAGCCGCTACTCGCCGTGTTAATGCTCCTGGGACATTGCCTGGGCAGGGCAGATGTGACCGGCATGTTTGTTAGAGCCGGACTCGACAGGCCTTTCTCCCGATGATTACGTCCAGCAAAGTCGTCGTTGACGACGGAGACAGGGTGCGTTCGGCGCTGCATTACGCGCATTGTGCTTATGCTTAGAAACTTCGTGCAGGTGGTCAGAGAGGTGATAATCGGCGCCTTGTCCGAGCCTGTCAGAGAAGAGATCATAGCATATCGCCCAGCGATCGTGAGCAATATGCTCTTTCGTGCCACGATTAGCCTCTCACGACGGGCAGATCTACTTCCAGATGGCCTCTGGCATGCGAGTCACCAACGTCGTATCGTACGGACCTGAGGGCGAACTGCTGCTGACCTTGGTGTTCACAAACGGAAGTGAGCCTTCGAAATGTCACTCGGCATAGCCCTCCGCTGACCGGCCGCATGCAGTCCCAGGCATTTCCGACGACCAACCGAAACCAAGTGTTGCTGAGTTGGACGGCATGATTGGCAGCACAGTGCAGCATATCGTAGACGTCATCCGCGGCATGGTCAAAGCAGGATCATTGTAGCGGCTGGAATCGACAATTAAAATCAAGATTGTACGCCCTTGAGGCCGAATCCGACGACCCCCAACGCTTCCGGTGTGATCCGCATCCAGACGTCGAGCAGCTCCCACCAGACGCGCTGCTGTGCCTGTTGGCCGTCCAGACTGCTGACCCACATCGGGGGGCTGGTGAGATCAGTCAGCAAGCAACGAGCAACGCAGCACGGGAGAGCACGCACTCGCGGATTTGACAGGCGGCGAGATATGCTCCCGGGGGCGTCGGCTTCAGAACGGCGTAGACGAGGTTCGTCGCGCCGTCCTCGGGCGACCAGGCGAGGAGATTTGTGCAGCTCACGCATAGGCGGCTCTTCTGTGTCCTCACAATCCCGGGATTGGCACAACTGAAGTGAAAAAAAAGAATCAGCGCAGTGAGACATCACACGGAGCTGCATGAGACACACTTGATGACGACTTTGTGGGCGATGGGCAACTGTCCCATCTGGCGCGCGAGCATAAGAAGCACCAATTTGGTCATGCCGTATCGGTCTATATGCGTTGAAGATTCGTTGAGGGCGTCGAGTATCCTCGGCGCATTGTCAGCTCTAAAAGCGACGTAGAACGGGTCTATGTAAAGAAATGAGCATCAGTAAATAGGCGGGGCAGAAACGACAGTCAGAACGTGCCGGCAGATCCGAGAAAGGTGAGATGGGGCGGAAAGTCTGGTGCGTCGGGATGGGGCAGCCCGAGCTTCCCCGTCTTATGAAGTAAAGGCAGAAGGAGAAGACCCAGGAGCGCGGTGGAGACGACATTTATTTGCAGCCTGGGTCATGCCAGTCAGCGCTCGCGACCCTAGACTCGGGCAATACGCACATACGTTCCCAGCCATGCTGCGTCGTCCGCCATTCCCGCGCCACATCGTACCAGCAGTCTTCCCCGAGTATGACCCCATCCAGGCGCAGTAAAGTAGCGCGCGCGCGCTCCGCGAACCGCAGCACACTATCGTAGTCGGCCATGTCGAGCGCCCACACGTCGAGCTCGCCCGTGAAGCCGTCCCCCGCCTCCCTCCTTATCCGTGACGCCAGCCGCTCGTGCGTCTCGGCCTCGGTTGCGGAGGCGGAGGCGAGGGCAGAGGCGGGGTGGCCCAAGACAATGCGCGCAGGCTTGAGGCGCGCGAGGTGCACGGCGGCAGCGACGACGAGCGGGGACGCGGCACCCGTGAGGAGGTACGTGCGCCCGGTGAGCGGGATCTGCGGGGTGCGGAGGCCGGCGAAGAGCTGGTCGTGGATGAGGGAGGCGAATGTGAAGTGGAGATTGGTGAGGAAGTGGCTCATGGGCGGCGGGATTGACCTGTCTGGGGCCAGGCAACGTCTTGGTTTTGGGGGCCGGGATCGCTGTTTGTAGGGACAACCGTTGTCTCAGCTATACGTCCGTGGTCAGAGCGGTTTTGAGTGGGCAGGGTGAAATTCAGGTTCCATCACGTGAGACAGACAGCTACCCGGACGGACTTCCGAGGAGCTATCTTGAGGAGTCGGGACCCACGCACACAGAAGTGTACATGTCATATCATTGCGACCACACCCAGAGAGATGAGCGGGGAGAAAGGTCCAGAACGAGGCTCAGAGTCGAGGATCGCGCGCAAAGGACGACTTGGAACCGACCATAATCTCAAGTTGTAGGACAACTGAGTCATGTTTATTCACATATGTAATTGACGAATACCACCAGAAGCCATACATATCCCGTTTTCAAGGGATTTAGTCGACCTCATCTCGTCTTCTGATCAATCGGACTTGAGAAACAGCTGCCTTCGGCTGCGTTCGGATCAGGACCTGGATCAACGGCAGGAAGTCGGTTTGTGTGACACCCCGCACTGCACCCACACATGTCAGAGGTCCTTTGTACTTTTCAACAAACGGTTTTGCTTCGTGCTGGCCGCCATGGCAACAGTGCCTTGTGGTTTCAGACTGCCGACATAGGAAGAAAGGACAATGCTGCTGCAGCGTGGTATCCTCAAGGCGCATTGTTGAACATTCCCCTTATAAGGCGCTCTTGTTTCCTACTCGGTGGAATCACCCCAGCCAATTATGATCTACGAACGCTACCAAATGTCTGTCAAATACGATGCCCTCTCAGATTCGGACACGAACTCCCTCTACTCTGACATCGGAGAGCCTCACGACGAGGTCTGGTATGATGTCACGACAAGTGAGCCACTCATCAGCGCATCGTGTGCTGCGCTCACGCGTCCCTCTTCCACAGTCAAAGCTCTGCTGATGCAGAGGGTTGCAGCATTCAACCGTGCCCGAGCCGTGGGTTCCGATGAGGATCCGCAAGAGCCACCGTCACACTCAGACGACGACGACGACGACACCGAACAAGCCAGTTCGTGGTCGGATCACACCCACGACGATCCCCGGGATTTTCTGGGAGGAGAGCCATCCGAAGATCGTGTGGGAGTGTGGACGAAATCGCTCAGAACGAGCCGGATTGCGTGGCCCTCGGAGATCCGGATCGCCAGTCGCAACCCGAACACTGCACGTTCCAGAGATCCTCCTCTCGAATCCGATGATCTCCAAAGCGCAAGTGACGATCCGGCCACGGGCCTGATAGATGATGCGGATAACTTTTTTGACGATGCACTGTCGATGGTGATCGACGTCGACGACCCTGTCATGGAGGAGACTCACGACGACAGCCTGAGACCCGGACTCGAACGTGCTCGTAGCATGGTAGTCACAGGACCAAGAAAGGCAGCGGACGACATGCACAGCGATGAGGTGACAAGGAAAGATATGAAGGGGCCGGGGAAGTTGAGGCGAGCTTTCACTAGGATGTCGAGGAGACTGAGCAGGGGTCCCACAAAATTGGGCATAGATTTGTAATCTTACTATAGTTATGATCACCAGGTCACGAGATCCCGATACCTTGCGTCGTCGAGATTGGAATGTCGAGGAGTATCGGGAAGTGCAATGGATTGCTTCCAGGGCCAACCGATTGGACTGGACTCAGCGGGGCCTGCCGAGTGGGATGATCAGAGACATCACAACAGCGATGCGTTCGCTCCAAGCATTCCTGCTGACCTTATTTCCAGGCATCGGGCTCGGAGCGACAAAACTAAGAATGGCCCGAAACTCGTACGATTCACGCAAGCAGCATGCTTAAGTCGGTGCTTCGGCGTTACGGGGTGCGGTGAGAGTTGGCGATGTCGCATCTGGCGCTTGCCCCGGAGTAGCAGGCTGAGTCTGAGTCACACGGACTGTGATTCAGGCACATGCAGTGTCCGGCGTCGGGCGAAGCTAAACAGGCCGTTGTACTTACACGGTTCTTGCTTGCATTACTAAGTGTGAAACATGCAGACACGTTTCTTCCTGCCTTCTGTCCGGGTCCAGGGACCGTTCTTATATGCACTGGGTGTCTAACAGAGAGCGTATGTATGTCGTGGCGCCTATCAGGTGCAGGAGACATGTCAGCGATCGGGAGGTGCCTGTCGTTGGCCTGCTGTAGCTCGAGAGTCGACACAAGTAAGTAAGTAGGACATCCGCGCCAAGCCCAAGTATGCATTGCACGACACCCAAATGCTTGGATCAGGGACGGCCGGCAGAATCAGTGTTTGAGCAGATGGCGGTCCACAGAAGAGCGCCCCACATCAGAGATTGGTGGTGGTGGCTGTCTGTCGTCTGGACAGATCGACCGTGTCGAACCTTCAAACGAACATATTGTACATACGGAGCGGTCCTTCAGTTCAGGGCGCAGGTCCAGCCCTCGTTAGTGCCGCTAATTAGAACTTCGCTACGGGATGAAACAGATGAGGGCGTCACGAATGGTCCGTGACGTGACGCGGAGACCGTTGATCGTTGATCGCGTCTCATCATGCTCACACGGGGGACAAACGACAGATCCCTTGTCAGAGACTGAAATCAATTTCGTTTGCGACCGGCCGTGATATCCCAGCCTCAGGCATCCTCTTCTCTTCACGCTGCATGCAGCGATGATGGCTTTAGACCCGCCCACGGACGTCCCACGCCTCAGGGACTCCAACTCTCGCTCCATGATGGCAACGACGAACAGGATCACTACTACGGCCGCCGCCGGTGGGACGCCTATCGCACCCAGTGCGGGTGCAGCTGCTGGTACTGGGGGACGCGCGCCAAGAGGAGGAAGTGGAGATCCAGGGCGAAGCAGTAGAGCTGGGTCTCGCTCGCGGAGTGGAATGATGATGGTGGACACCACGACCGGCGCACACACCACGACCAGCATGCACAATAACAGCCATCACAAGCCATCTTCGACGACACCCCCGACCACGGCGATCTACCCCACCACAACAGTTGGTGGCTGGACTGTGGTGCACCATGGAACACACGGTCCTGCGCACACGCTCGAACCGTACTACCCCCCGCCCCCTTCCGGCCTCGGCGGCCGTCGCGCGGCGAGTGCAGGCTCTGCGCGCACGCGCTCGCCTGCGGTGCTGCCTATCAGCGGGAGTGGGAAGGGCACTTCGATGGCTGCACCGAAAGATCTGCGGCCGCTGCCTATGCCGCCGCCCGCAGGCCCGGATGGTGTTGGAGGGCCATCTTCTTACGCTATGCGGCGCACTGGGGCACCAGCGGCTGGAACTGCCTCGATATCTTCGTCAAACGGCGGCTCCTCAGGCTTGGGATATGCGTATTCTGGCGGGTCGCCACCACCCCCACCCCCACCGTCGTCTTCCTTCAGAGCACAAAGCGTGGATCGCGAGACGAGCAGGAGGCGCCCCTCTGTGTCTTCCGTCGTGCCTGTCCCTTCATCTAGTCTCGCTCTTTCGCCTGCGACAGGTGCCGAACCATCCAGCGCCGTATCCCCCGCCAGTGCTGCTAGCTCGCGTCCGCTGCCATTACCTCCGAATCCGCATTCGAATCCGACATCAGCATCGACATCACGGCCTTCCACGGCGTCTGGCTCCAGCTCGAGGCCGACCACGATGAGAATGAAATCTAACACACTTCCCCAACCGCAACCGGCTGCGTCAGGATCCCAATCATCGAAGCCGGGTTCCAGACCACGGACGCCGGAAATTGGGGCCAGCTTACGCTCGCCAGCGGCATCTTACCTGTGCGTTTTCCCCTCATTGCGTAGTCTGTGCTGATTGCGATGTTTATCTGTGTCTTCCGCATCCAGATCAACAACGAGCGCATCCTCATCTCCATTTGACGGCGTGTCGGGTGTTTGGGCGCCTGTTCGTCCCGCAGCGGATTCTCATGGGCGTGCTTCTGGTGCGTGCGCGTTATGGTTTCCGGCCTCCTTCTGCTGTGTTCCCTTGCGCTGGTCTCCCTCCGATCTCGCTGTCGCATCCACTGATCGCATGCTCTCGGGCTTTCCTGCTTCTCCCCCCATTTGGAATGACTGTATATGCCCAAGGCATCTTCTGATCCACCTCTCAAAGTGCATCTTCTGTGCATGTGGCTGATGGATGCGCTGTAAACGGAGGCGTCTCGGATTCGATTTCTCGCTGCATCAGTGATGCATGCTTCGGGCGGAGATTCTTGTTTCGTCTCCAAGGTCGTTTTCCTCCGTTGACGATGACTGACTTTCGTCTTGTCATCCAGAACGCAAACGGACCATTTCATCTGGTGCACCGCCTCTGCATCGGAAAACGAGCGGGGGAACTACCCTGTTTTCGGCCAACAATGGGAGCTCGAGCAGTCTGCAGCATCGATCCAGTGCTTCTGGGCTGAGACAGACGCCGACACTGACCGGGTCGATGTCCTTAGGTAACGTGGCCTCGGGCCCACCGGGCAGGAAGAGCAGTCTTTCTGTATTTCCGAGCAGTCCAGGTGCGTCTCTATTTGTTAGCGTGACTGCGAGTCTGATGAGCCGGTAGTTGCTCCTGCGCGCCCGTCTCCGACTCACTCGCGCACGCCGTCGGGTCATGGTGCCTTCCCGCGGCCAATGGTGCCGCCGAGCCCGGGTCGGACAGCAACCCCTATTGTTGCACCACCGCCAAGAGGACATACGCCTAGGGCATCGTCCCTCTCTGGGCCCATTAGCATCAACATTCCGCCGGTCCCGGTTAGAAAAGGGAGCGAGGGAAGCCGTGTGCCCTTTGTCGCACCAGGGCCCCCGCCACCCCTGGACACGATCCCGCCGCCGCCCCTACCGCCGAAACCGGCTGGGCTGGTGATGGGCCGGCGAAACGAGTCGCTGACGCCGTCGTCGACACGGAGCGTGCCGGCGTTTTCGTGGCGCGAGGGTTCGTCGGATGAGAGCGAGAGCACGACTGCGCTGACGACGCCCGCGAGCGCGTATCCGAGTCCGCTGTCTGTTGTCGTCTCGGCGCGGCGGCGGCTGCCGATGGCGCCGATATCGCCGACACTAGAAGGCGGGCCGACGACCCCGCCGATGCATTCGCATCCGCTCGGGGACGACAGCGAGGAGCCGATGCTGGATAGCGCGTTGGGCAGTGATGGAGGGAAGAACCACTGGCTTGCGGCGCTCGAGGGCGAAGTGCGGGACATGGAGATGGACGGGATGACGCTCTCGCCGCCTGTGTTTGCGACTGCCCTAGACGAGGAGGAGAGCGACGGGGATATTCAGGACCTAGACCTATATGACCGGGATCTGGGCATCCAGCAGCAGCGCGTGGACCGAGACCGATCCCCGTCCCCGATCCGCTATGCGCGCCGGGCTTCTGTCGATCTGGACGTCGTGTTTTCGGACTCGAGCGAGGAGGAAGACGAGGATGAGGTGCCCGACGCAGCGAGCGTGGAGTCGCCGGCGCATTCGTCCGTTGACGCCCGCAGCGCCGATGCGCGTAGCACCTTCTCTCGGGCCCAGAGCACGCGGTCCCGGCGGCGGCGGCAAACTAGAGCTGCGGGAGCACCGCCGCCAGTGCCCCTGGCCAGTGCAGCCGGAATGGGGATGGGCGGCACCGGCGGCCGCCGCCGGCATTCCGCGGACAGCAGCATCTTGGAGATGGAGATGGCGCCGAGCGAGATGTACAAGATGGAGATGCAGCAGCAGCAGCAGCAACAGCAGCAGTATCACCCCCAACACCACCCCCATCAACAATACCACCACCACCATCAGCAGCAGCAGCAGCAGATGCGATATGTATACCACGCGGCGGCAGCGCGGTTACCGGCGAGCGTGCCTCCGCCCCTATCTGTATCCAGCTCGCTCGGGACCGGGAGCTCCGAGAGCGGGCATGCCAGCCCGATGCCGATGGCGCCGCCGCCACCACCGTCGCGGACGATGTCCAGACTGCTCCGGCGGGGCGATAAAAAGGACAAGGAGCGGAAGAGCATGCCCCCGTCTCGTGCTGGGTCCAGCGCGGAGGCTCTGATGAAGAGGACTTGAGGCTTCACCGCGTAGTCGTCGTTTTGATTGTACATATTGATTCATGGATTATTTAAATAAGTGAAAACATGTACGGTCACACTCGCCATCATCACTGATGAAGCATCAACCCACCAGGTGCGCGGCTTGCTTCTTGGATCTTGACTCCCATGAGCAACACGGTGAGGCCGCTCGTTCGGCCGCTGCTCCTGCTTTCTGCAGGCGCCGCACTCGTATATGCCGTCACCCAGGCTCTGAACTGGCGCCGGGTGGGTTCGATGCTTCGACGGGTTTGATCATCCAGTGCTGACCCCGAGCAGCAGAGTATCGCTGAGGTGCGCCTTGGATGATCGTGCATAGCCTGGTATCCGTCTCAAATCGACTCAGAAAATCAAGAAGAATAGCAAACCCGATAGCGTCCACGGTGCGGACTTGCGCATCAGCCAAATCCGGGTTTATCCCATCAAGGTTGTGTTCTGTTGTTCAAGGGAGCGACGGACTCAGGACTGACTGCCTTGAGCAGAGCTGTGTCGGTGTGGAGCTCAGTGAAGCTGAATACGACAACGAAGGCTTCGATGTGTGTTTGCCGTTACCTTCTCATTCATGTGACTTGATCCCGAACTGAACAGCTGGACCGGAAATGGATGATTGTCGACGTCCAGAAGAACAAACAGCTCTCTGCGCGTGATAACCGCGGAATCAAGGCGAGTCTCTGGTGCCGTGTCAAGTCCAGCAGCTGATGGAACTGCAGCTCGTGCGCGTGCTCCCCACCATCGAGCGTGATCCGACATCCCCGACCGGTGGTGTCTTGCGCGTGAGTTTCCTCGACTCGCCCACAACGCCGTCATTCGCGATCCCGCTCTACCCCACAGCGGACGATCTCGGCAGCTGGGAGACGCACTCCGACTTCGATCTCTGGGGCCACGCCGGCGAGGGCTACATCGTCCAGCACGCGGCGGCCAGCGATGCGACACCCAGCGACACGCCCTCCAAGATCCTGTCGGCGTACATCGGACGCCCGGTGCTGCTCGTGATGAACACGCCCGCGCCCCGGCCGCTGCCCGACCCGCTCGTATTCGACGCGGGCCGGTTGGAATATGGGAGCGTCGCGACGGTCCGGTACCCGGACTGCACGCCGTTTCTGCTCGTCTCGGAAGCGTCGCTCGCGGACGCGCAGGCCAAGGTGCACGAAATGGCCCGGGGGCTGAGCGAGAGTGAGGCGGCGGGCGCAGGGTGCGTGGCGCCGAGTCCGAATCAGATCGAGGCTGGCTGGGCCGATGCAGACGAGCCGAAGCCGCTGTGTGCGGTGGAACGATTCCGCCCGAATGTCGTCGTGAGCGGGGTCGTCGATGCGTTTGGAGAGGACGATTGGATCGAGATCGCCGCTGGGGGTGGGGTCTTTTTCCTTCCGGCGCGGTGTCCGAGATGCATGGTACGTTTGTTTTCTTTTCCATATCTGCCAATCCATTTCGATGTCAGAAAATCCACTCACACCGCTGTTTTAGTTCCCGAACGTCGACCCGGAGACCGCCGAGCGCGACAGACACATGCCGAACAATGCAATGATGGCATATCGCAAGGTCGACATCATGGCCCCGACGAAATACTGCTTGGGGTGCGATTTGTTTCCTGAGCGGAGCACCTGAGATGCTGATTTTTATATTCTACTCCTAGAATGTATATGCTTCCAGTGGCAGCCAAGGGAAAACTTCGCGTTGGAGATCAACTTGTCGTCGTGAAGAGTGCAGTCAATCCAAGTCTAATGGATTGATGGCCGCTGCGGATTTCGTCGGCAAAGCGTTGTGTGTCCATTTTATCTGCAACCAATTCTGATCTGATCCCAGCTCAGCGCCAATTTGTCCATTCAGAGGTCGCATTGCCAATGAATCATGATTAAAATTGAACAATTAAATAGTCAAGGATATACTGAAACGCCTGCCAAGATCAGTTCGAATGTCCCCAAGAACTAGATGCAGACGCCGTCATGTGACTGGACGGAAACGCGTTCCCGGGGAGCCGACCCTGCTGCTGAGTAGTCGTTTGGGAAGGGCGTTGGAGATGGCAGCGTTTGAGGCATTCATCTGTGGCGATGGCGACACTGTCTGGGATCTGCAACGGAAGCCATCTTCAGTCGGTTACCAACAAGAAAAGGGTGAGTTGAGTGGGCGCACGAGGTAGTTGAGCTTCTCGACTTCTTTGACACCGATGTCGCCCAGAGTTGCTGCGACGACGTCTGGGGATAGACCGAACACTGGTCGCGCAAAGATGTTTCAATGAATGACCAGAGCATGGAAGAGCAGATTACATACGCCGCTGAGCAACCTGCAACGCTCCGGGATCCTCGCTATTGAGCCCAGAGACAAAGAAGGCAGGCTCTGCCCATAACCCGTAAGTCGCGGAGACTAGAAAAAATATTCTCCTGCACTCACCGCATCCGTCGTTGACCTGGAAGTGCACCGATCCCTGGGGAAACACGGTCATGCTCCCGGGCGGAATCTCATTCAGCACGAATCGCGCGCCGTTCTCCGTGATCATGCCGGAGCGGATCGTCTGGTTGACGCTAAACAGCACCTCCGCCGCGCGCGGGTGCGTGTGCGGCGTGTTCATCGAGCATGCGTCCAGAATCCCAACGGCTGCAGACGTGTACTTGTGAGCGGCGGTGTGATCGACGATGTTGGGGATCAGAGCGCACCCATGGCCGCGCCGTTGCCGACGACAGCGGGGAAGCTCGCGCTGTTCGCGAGCACGACTTCCCCGCCCGCTCCCTTGGCTGCTTTTAGACTGGGATCAAAAAAGTCGAATACAAACTGAGCAGTGTGGTAAGTCGTCCGCCACTGAAATTGGGAGGACACCGGCTCTGGAGCTAACCTGCGAGTCATCCGGGAGCAGTGCAACACGGTCTACAGCAGTCGCCGCGATTTTCAGAGAGCTGATCAGCTCTGGTCCAGACGGCGACGGAGAGGCCAGGATGGCGCTGACAGCAGAGAGAATGACAGCAGAGAGAATGAGAGACGCAGAGAACACCGTGTATGGGGACGGGGAAGAAGATGAATGTGTTGGGTGTGGAACTCGAGACGTGCGTTAAATACCCTTGCATTCAATCTGGTGAAACGAGCGGTGAATGGTCCGTTTGTGGCAACACAGCGTCGCCCGTTGCCAATCTGGCGGTGCACTCCTATCGATCACAACGGGTGCTCATGGGCGGTCCGTTAGTCCAGTCCGGTCTTCTCGGTCAGCGGCTGTGTGGGCCGCCTTTCATGCATTCAATTTGGTTTCAATTTTGCTGAGGCGTCCCAATCAGTAGGTACTAGATTCTACTCAGATTTGATTCCTGTAGACTCCTGTTCGACCAGCATGCAAGACGCCGTGATATAGTCTCACGGTTCAATCTTGATCACGTGGGTGTTCAACCCTGCTCTTTGATGTGATGACGCAATGACAATCCTCTATTCAACGATATAACCGTCTTCACAATTTTGCAAATATCCGGGAATCGTTCGCACAGGGTATCGGACTCAAAGCACTTCAACTGCGATTCACGATCCTGAACTGGAAGTTCTCCTTATCCTCCTTGGAACTCTCCTCGCGGATCCGCTGGGCGACCTTCATGCTGATGCCCCCTGATACCTTGCTTCTGTCGATCGGCACGGGAAGAGGAGCAGTACGAGCAATGTGGCTGAGCGCGGGCGGCGATGCGGCGAGTTGTCGAGACGAGATATTGCTGAAATCGGCGGCGGCGGATGCCGAGCGGCCGGGTGTCGTTCTGAACTCCGAAGCGTCTGGTGTGCCGTTCAGAATATGTCTTGTCGGGATCGGTGTTGTGTCTAATCGGGACGATGATTTTCGCAGGTAAATCAGCCTGTGCAACATCTCTTTTTCGGGTAGACTCGAAGCAGCGTCGCTGGTCTGTTGAAGGCGGGAGGCGCCCACCCTACGCGCAGCAGGCGAGAACACAGCCGGCACCTCCCAATCTTCCTCGAAGAGATGTGATCGTGGGGCGAGGACAGCCGCGACTTCGCATTCGTGCATGCGCACGCCGACAGGCAGTGGCGGCTCCATCCTTTCAATGCTCTGGATTCATTTGATTAGACCAAGCTCGTGTCTCGGTCGGCCGTGCCGAAACAGGAGGAACGTGACTCACTTCAGCAAGCTTTTTCCGCGCAGCAGCCAGGGTGCGGGTGGCTGCACGCTGCTCTTCGCTCTGCATGGTCGCTCAGCATGTGAGAGGCTGCAAGACGGTGCACTGACCAAGCGATGCCGGGCGGCGTATTTAGGAACCGCAATGTCTATTCTCGGTTGAGACTCTGATGCTATGAGCCGGGTCCAGATGTCCGTGAGGAGACTCGGAGCTCGGCATGGGCCGATCAATAACTCGCAGAACAGCCCAAGGGCCACGAATAAAATCCACGATTCGGGCGCGAGGGAAGGCAGAATAGCGGGAGACTGCATAGGGATAGATGGCGAGATAGCGAGTGTTGTGGAAAGCGGGAGCTGCGGGACGGTAGACTAAGTCGATCTCTTATAGCCTTGTCTCACTTGGATCTTCCATTTCCCGCAGCCCCCGCCTCGAGAGGTCTCATTATGCGGAAGAGACGACGGTGTCACTTGACACGTTGTGCTTTGGGCAGCCTGACTACGCTGCGAGATTCAATGTGGAAGAGAGATGGGCGGTATTCAGAAAGCATCGCTGAGCAATGAAAGAGCATTTTCTGCTCGAAGCCCCATCAGCTCTGACAACTATTGAATTTAGTCAGGCCCCAAGGTTATATCATGCTGGGCGGGAGAACTGATGACGATATTCTTGGGAGAAAACCTTCGCTCCATCTAGCTTTGAGAGATATTTTCTGGAGGGATAGAGTACAGTAAGGGGTCAAAGGCTTACTTTCATCATGACGTAGTCACGGATCAGAATATCATGGATCCCGCCGGAACAGGAAACCCGTGAGCGGAATAAGCACGCTACGGCTTGTTCAGCCATCATGCGATACGTGTAAAAGTGTGTAATCTGATTGATTGACAGAGAAACAAACGGAATGTGATGCACCTGAATTCCTGAGTAGTATTTTGAAGTTGTTCGGCTCAGATCTTGCAAGTTTAGGATTCAAGTGATGTATTTCGAGTCCTGCATAGATCATGCGTCGATTCCGAATGAAACAAATTGACGCTCACGTGATCGCGTCAGCATCGCCGGCACGGGCGGTGATAGGCTCCGATCGGCCGCAAATAGGTCACACGCTACGGCTTGCCTATGGACTACGTGCTCTCATCGCCGCTCCTCAAGTACTCCCTCGTTCTCGTGGTCCCAATCCTCTTTCTTGGCGCTCGGCATCTCGCAACCTCCACACCCACCACCTCCCCAGCCAAGTCAGACGCAGACGACAAGCCGGCCAAGTCGATCATGCAGGCCCCCAAAGACGATCTCCTCCCACCGAAGGACGACCCGTTCACGCTGGAGCAGCTGAAGGAGTTCGACGGCTCGGACAAGGCGAAGCCGATATACGTCGCCATCAAAGGTGTGCCGCCCCCTCCCTCTCCCACTCACGCTGCATGGTGCTAACGAGTGCTGCCACGCACGCAGGGACGATCTTCGACGTGACCCGGAAAGTGGACGTGTACGGCGCGGGCGCGTCGTATAATGTATTTGCGGGGAAGGACGGGTCGAAGGGACTGGGCATGTCGAGTCTGAAGCCGGAGGATGCGGTCCCGGATTACAGCGGGTTGGATGCGGTGGACCGGAAGACGCTCGATGACTGGCATGTGTTCTTCTCGTGAGTCTTCCCTTCCTTGCACCGATGTCCCGCGTTCGAATGGCTTATCGTGTTCTAGGAAGCGGTACAACATAGTAGGCAAAGTCGTGGACGCACAGACGGAGGAACCCAAGTTGTGAACCCGATGTATTCGTCTAAAACAACGTCATGTAGAAGCCTCACACCGGCATCTACACTATCTACGTATCCGAACATATATTGGAACATTGTACACCAAGTAGATTTCGATATTATTGAACGCAGATCCACGCAGTTTGCTCTGCGTTCCTGACACTCCTGAACGGATACCGACAATGCGCACGTTCAGTCTGGCCATCGTAAGATGTGCCGATCATCTCGTCCGGCGCCTTCCCATTTTCGACCCAGTCGACCAATGCAAGGAGGAGATTGTGAGAGCTTGCATTGACTCCATGGGTCACATCGTAACTTCGCTGCCCAAAGTTGGGAGAGCCAATGCCGCCAGTGCAATGGGCCAGTCCAGGCACGAGGAACAGTCGGTAGAACGAGTCGAGAGATGGCATGGAGAGTGTCGCCGAGACGAGATCATACATCCGTTTCGAGTTTCCGGAAGCGATCAGCTGGAATGCGAGATTCAACAAAAAAAATCAAACAATAGAAAAGAGAGCGCACTCCATCCATGCGTCCATGATATGTCAAAAACTTGCCTCCTCGATCGCGAAATGCCGCCAAGTCACCAGAAAACGTAGCAATGCCCCCAGCATTAATTGCCTCGATGCGCTTTCCTTGTTTCGGACCATACTTGCTGAAATCGAAATTCGTGTGATTCAGCACGACGTATTGCAACCAGTCGCGGGGATATGCAGGGAACTGCCCGCCCCAAATGAACTGCCTGTACGTCAGCTCCGCGCCCGGGTCGAATCTTGGGTAGATGAGTTTTCCATCAGAGTATAGCGGACTGTATATTTTATGCAGCGCAGCGATCTGGGCGGGAAACAGACAATCGTCGATCTGGCCGGGCCGACAGATAAGCGCCTCGGGCCGGAACAGACACGTATCCGGTTCTGTGATGATTCCGTCCTCCACTCCGTCGAGCGTATCGCATTGTTTGAGGATTTCTTTCGAAACGAGATCCCACTCGCTGGCCGAGAGGAAGGCCGGCGATGTGGGATCCGGCGCGCCGGTGTGCCGGGAGAGCATGCCCGTCCAGTGGATGAGGTGGTTGAAGTCCGTCGCTGGCGCACCGGCGATGATTCCGTCGAAATCAGCCGGGTACCTGAGTGCTTCCTGGGTTCCTTGCCTCCCTCCCGTCGAGCAGCCGAGGTAGTACGATTTCTGGTGCTGGTGGCCGTAGTATGCTTCGACGATTTGTTTGCCCACGACGGCCTCGACGTGAATTGAACGATGAGCGAAATCTTCGATGATCTCTGGGTTGTTCAGGAAGTCCTCTCCGGAATTTCCGTCATGTCCGTTGTTCGACCCTACGGAGGCGAAGTGGAAGGACGTGCCGTACGAGAGGTCATCATAACCAATGCCTTTGCCGGAGTCAACGTAGAGGGACAAATAGGGCTTCAATTCCACGCACATCCTCCCAGGCCTCCGTTTCCCACTCCCAGAAACCGTCCATACCACTCCTCCGGCAGCCACGCCTCGGCCCGAATGCCCGACGATTCGCTCGTTTTAGTGACAAACTGGACGCGACAGAGTGAAGTAGGCGCGTAGAACTTCTGGGACTGTTGCTCCGGACACAACTTGCCGACCTTCACGCGCGAGCCGGCGGCAAGAAACCTGGCATCGACGATTGTCGTGTTCTCGATGCGCAGGGTCTGCTTAAGAGCGGCGCACTTCGAGTGCTGCTCGCTTCCAGCTGAACCCCAGCCCGAGAGCAGCGCGTTAGCTGAGAGGAGTTGGGTGACTGACTTGAGATTGAACCCAAAGTCCATGTTGGGGGGAAGATGAGTGACACGCTGACAGGTGGATGACAACGACGATGATCATCCGTGATCGGATCAAGGCTTATGTCCGCGCCTAACAGCGTCGGACATCAATATGCGTGTCAAGGCCTTCTGAAGTTGGACTAGTTTGGCGCTACGATGGCAGGCTGCTCGGAAAAGTATTGCGAATAAATTGTCGTACAAAAAATGGAAAGTAGGAAGTGCAAGGCAACCGTGAGTCGCTGCTACCATTTTACACGTTCGACGTGCCGTCATCATCAGTTTGAACCAGGACTCACCGGGAGTTAACGTCAATCATAGCAGACATTTGAATTTTTGGAGTCCCGCGTATGCACTGGATAGCTGACAAGATTGCTTCGAAATCGACCGTCGTTGAAGGTTTTTATTATTCGCGCTGACCATGCGAGGATGCACAAGGAAAAAGAACACGAAATTCGTTGTCGAGCAGCTTCACATAAACATGTTCTGAATTCCCTTACAGAGTCGATAAATCAGTTGATTAGGTCTCATCGAATGCAGATGAGATATAATACGTTCATTCTCTTACGCCTCAATCATCGGTTCCACACTCTTTGTCGTCTTCCGTCTCCGTCTCAGGCTCTACTCTGGGAAACCGTTCACTATGATTCGCATGCCGAGTCAAATATCGCTTGCTAAACTTCTAGCAGATCGAATCATCTGCCACCGAGGACAACCTGTGCGTGTCTTTCGGAACGATAAAAATAGGGATAACTCATCCACATTCGAATTCCCACCGTAATCGCGTCGACATATATTGGATTATTGTACATCTAGGATTTTTCATGCTATACAACACAGATCCACTCGGTTTGCTCGGCGTTCCTGACGCTTCTCAATGGATACCGACAGTGGATGCGTTCAGCTTGGCCGTCGTGGGATGTGCCCACGATCTCGTCGGGAGCATTCCCATTTTCGACCCAGTCGACCAACGCCAGAAGAATGTTGTGGGAGCTCGCATTGACCGCTGTGGTCACGGTGTTGCCTCGCTGCCCGAAGTTGGGAGATCCGAGCCCCTCTGTGCAATGAGCGAGCCCCGGAACAAGGAAAAGGCGGTAGAACGAATCGAGAGTCGGCATCGACAGTGTCGTGGAGACGAGATCATACATCCGTTTCGAGTTTCCGGAAGCGATCAGCTGACGGAATGTTCAGCGGGAATTAAGAACTCAACAATCCTAACACCACACGCACTGCATCCATCCGACCATGGTACGTCAAAAACTTGCCTCCTCGATCCCGAAACGCCGCAAAGTCCCCAGAGAACGTGGCGATTCCTCCGGGATTCACCGCATCCATTCGCTTGCCGTCTTCAGGACCGTACGTGCCGAAGTCAATTTTCGTGGTGTTCGCAACAGCGTATTGCAGCCAATCTCGGGGATATTCCGGGAACTGCCCGCCCCATAAAAATTGCCTGTACGTCAGCTCCGCGCCTGGATCGAATCTCGGGAAGATGAGTTCTCCATCGGCGTATAGCGGACTGTATATTTTTCGCAATGCCTCGATCTGAGCGGGGAACAGACAGTCATCTATTTGCCCTGGTCGACAAACGAGCGTCTCCGGACGGAAAAGGCACGTATCCGGCTCTGTGATGATCCCATCCTTCACGCCGTCGAGCATATCACATTGCTTGAGGATTTCTTCCGAGACAAGGGTCCACTCACTGGCAGAGAGAAAGGCTGGTGATGTGGGATCCGGGGCGCCCGCGTGCCGGGCCAACATGCCGATCCAGTGCAGAAGATGGTTGAAGTCTATGGCAGGCGCACCGGCGAGGATGCCGTCAAAGTCAGCCGGGTATTTGAGCGCTTCCTGTGTTCCTTGTCTCCCTCCTGTCGAGCATCCGAGGTAATACGATTTTTGGTGCTGTTGGCCGTAGTACGCTTCGACGATCTGTTTGCCCACGACGGCCTCGACGTGAATTGAACGATGAGCGAAATCTTCGATGACCTCCGGGTTGTTCAGGAACACTTCCCCAGAGTTCCCGTCATGCCCGTTGTTTGACCCGACGGAGGCAAAGTGGAAGGACGAGCCGTATGCGAGGTCGTTATACGCGATGCCTGTGTCCTGATGAGCGACGAGCCGATAGGAGCTTCAAATACACGCACATCCTCCTAGGCCCCCATTCCCTACACCCAGAAACCTCCCGTACCACTCCTCCGGCAACCATGCTTCGGCCCGGATACCCGACGACTCGCTCGTTTGGGTTACAAACTGGACGCGGCACAGCGATGTCGGAGCATAAAGCTTTGTAGAACTCTGTTCCGGGCAAACATTTCTGAACTTGACGCGCGAGCCGGCAGCAAGAAACGTAGCGTCGACGATCGTCGTGTTCTCGATGCGCAGGGTGTCCTTGAGGGCGGCGCACTTGAGGTGCTGCTCGCTACCGGCCGAGGCCCAGCCGGAGAACAGCCCGTTGGCTGAGAGAAGATGCGTGAGCGACTTGAGCTTGTACCCAAAGTCCATGTGGGGGGGAGGATAGGAAGGGGAGATGGATGTAGCCGTGATTGACAAGGAACGTCAAACGGTTTCGCGTGAGGCTCCTGTCCCAGATAGGAAATCACTGGGGCTGCTTCCGCCTGATCAGCGGTGGTCGGATTGCCATTCTGTCCGCGACGTTGGTCCAAGTCGCCATTCGGAACTTGCTCATTTTCCGCCGCAACCCCTAGACCCCTCAGGGAGCGACGGCGAATGTCTGATGACGTGTAGAGTAACGATAATCACTCGCACGTAATACTATCAGTAATCGCGCGATGGAGCAAGTGGACACAACTGCACCCAACTTGATGAGAAACTGAGAAGTGTCAAATCGAGACAGGAAGACGGCGCTGATCAGAAAGACCGATGCTGACCGGTCACCGCCACACGCACACACACAAAAGATCTCCGCAGACATTCCTCGTTACTCCCCATTGAATTTCGCGTCAATGGGTCGCGGTGGGAAGTCAAGAATCGGCATGAGAGGCCAGTAACCGATGGCGTGAGCGACGACGCGGAAACGCGCTGTCGATCAAATCACATGATCGTATCTGATCTGCACGTGCAGGGCAGGTCGTCACCAACACACCTGCTTGCTCCTTCAAGTCCAAGTACCTCACACAGACGGCATGCAAAGCGCGTTTTATACCCCGCCCCGATCGGGTCCCTCCTCGCCTCCCAAACTATCCGCGGGCAGTCCTCCTCTGCTGTTCGCCACCCCCAGTCCCCGAGCATCGACCAAGCCTAGTGTCCCTCGTTTCGTCGCGCCGTCCGCGCAGCAGGGGAGGACCCGAGCCTACCTCGCCTTCCCACCCAACTCTCCCCCTATACGGCTGCCTTCCGCCACACCGAGCGCACCACCGCGCGTCCCGGCCACGGCCCCAGTCTTCGCGAGCCCCATCGACAACCACGCGCGTGAACGCGAAAAAGCGGCAGACGACGCGTTCGCAGCGGCCGAGGCGCACCGTGCCGCGCTGCACCGCACGCGCATGGAGCGCGCGAACGCGGAGGCGCTCAAGGGCGAGATCGATTGGGTGCGCTCGGGCGGCGTCCTGCGTGACGCGGAGGGCAACCGCGACTACGCGCGTACGGAGACCATCCGCGAGGAGCTACGCGTCGCGGCGGTGGAGAAGGCGGTGATGGAGCGGTGGGATGCGTACGAGGCTCGGTGGGCGGCGCTCAGGGGCTCCAATACTGCTGCTGCTTCTCATGATCAGGGGACTTCGATGCGGTTCGCAGACGTCCCGTGGCCCGTTGTGTCGGATGGCCGGGGATCTGTCGGGGTCGGCGACTTGACTACGGAGAAGATCGAGGAGTTCCTGTTCGCGTCTCTCAAAGTGCGGGGAGCGACCGTGACGAAGAAGGAGCGGATACGCAGCTCGTTGCTGAGGTGGCACCCCGACAAGATGACGGCAATCCTGTCGAGGGTCGCAGATGAAGATGCAGAGATCGTGCGGTCTGGGATCCATGCTGTCGTCCTGTGTCTGCACCAGCTGAACGCCGCCAATGAGGCGGTTTCGTGATGGAATGGATCGTATCATCGCTTTCACCCTGCTGTGCCTTTTTGCTTTCCCAGATACTCACGACATGTACTCACGAGAGATATATAGAATGATCTTTCCATGCATTCGTCCTTGTGGGAGTCAGTGTTATACTTCCGATGCTTTCCCGCTCCGTGTGATACGCATACGGCCGTTCGTGCGTGCGACTTCAGTTGCTGCCTCCGCGTCTGTACAGACCAGGCAATGCCCTAGCATCGGAAGATGGCTATTGGGAAGGGAAAGCGGTGTGCGTCGTTTCGACGACATCCGCGTCGATCCAGCGAAAGGATCGCGGTTGCTCCCCGGTGGTGAGCCTCGGCATCGAATCGGACAGTGCCGGTGTCTACCGTGCAGCTGCGGGAATGCCTCTCCGCCCAAGCTTTCCCTCGAGCTGCGAGCACGATGTCTACGCGGTCAGATGCCGCGACTGCCCATCACTTCTTCCTTCATTATGTGACTCACAGATCAGAGAAGGAGATGGCTGGGCTGACTGTAGATGAGATGATGGCTCAGTCTCCGGGAACTGTTAAGTATGAAGCCTTTCTGGAGAGGGTCGGGTGAGCTACCCCTTCCCCCTGCCTTCATGGTCCTCGACTCCGGTGCGTCGTCTGCTTCAAGATTGGTGTGGACGGATTTCTGACCTTCTAGGTGGACTGCAGGAGGAGCAGGGCATGTCCGTCGAATTGTCTTCTTCAGCCTCGAGCTGGCGGGTCTGGCTGGGGCTGTGATCATGCTGCTTACCGGTCTTATCTGGCGTCAGGCAGCTCGGAGGCATATTGTCTGGTTCAACTTTATGTTCACCTGGATGATCTCTTGTGCTTCTTACATGTGAGTGGTTCTGCTCAGCCTCAATTCCAGTTTCTGCGCTGACGATGAAATGGCAGTTTACTTATTGGCCAATCTGTGGACGAGCTGCCAAATCGCACAATCTGTGTGGCGCAATCTGCTCTTATATATTCTGTCCCGACGCTGTGAGTTTCAGTGATTTTCGGTGTTCAACCCTGACTCAAGATGCCGAACAGAACATCTGGGTCGACTCTTGCGCTCGTTATTCATGTTCGAAAATCTCCTTTCCACGCTTTAGCTTTGACTGAGAAACACTAGGTCTATATCACTCTCCGAACACTGCTGACTGTCGCGACACCCGACTATCTATTTATGTATCGCAAGATCTTGACCATTATGGTAGGTCGGATCCGACCCCAATCTCGGGCCAAGAGCCTCACCCGCAGCCCAGCTCGTCGGCGTGCCATACGTCCCCACAGCGGGCATGTTCGCCTCCGCCCTCGTGATCAGCCTCCGCGCGCCCCCGTCAGAGCTGTCTCTGAGCTACAGCGAGGGCGCGTTCTGCGGCCTCACAGCCACGCCCCTCGGGAGGATATCCGCGAGCATCGTCGCGGTGATGATGATCGCGGGACTCGTGTTCGAGGCCGTCATCTTCTGCACGCTGCGCCGGGTGTGGCGGACGCTGCAGGCGGAGAACCGGGCGTCTGTGTCCATGATCACGCGCGTCATGGCATTCACGCTCGTCGGCATCGTGTCCATTATGTGTGTCTTTCGCTTTTCTTTCTTGGGATCGCAAGTGCTGACAGAAACAGCATCAGTATGATATTTTTGGTCCTCCCGTCGGAACACCAATCTGGCTTTAATGTTATGATCGCCACAAGTAAATCAGCAACGCATTCGCTAGATGAGATTGTTTGTGCTGAAGAATTGGTCCTAGTTCCAGTCACATCTGTTCTCATATTCGGCACACAGAAGGTCGGCAAATTAATTCAGTGGCCAGCACAGACTGACGTTTACCAACAGGATGTTCTCAACGCCTGGGCCTCGATATTCCGCAAGAAACGCGCTCATGGGGCCGATACATGGGACACATTCACGCCTGAGGGGAGTCGGCAGATCATCATCACATTGAGTCCATTGAGAAGCAAAGTATGAAAGTAAAGAACATCAATAGCATCTGTACATCATCAAGTCTGGATTCATGTTTGTATCAATTATAACAAGGGACATTGGTGGGCCGGGAAAATCCGTTCATGGAATGGCCCGCGAGTTTCGTTATGGGAACACCCGAATAAGTCCCAAGATCCATATGTGGAATGGGAAGAGTGGGTTCTGGATGCTACAAGTCGCGTTCAATATTCAATGCGGGAGAGAGAAGTTATTGATAAGCCGCGCAATGATATTAGACGATTGTGCTAGTTATTGTAGAAAAAGGAGCACGGTGCTCCGTCAAACGATAAAGGAGGTACTAAGTAATAACCTGATTGGTAAAGGAGTGTGGCATGCTACACATACGAGACAGACAACCCGTCAAGTGCCTAGGCGATGATCGTGCTGTAAGAGTTGCTGAAAGGACAGAGATTTAGCAAAACACGACTGAAAGCGCTAAGACACTCACGTGGTGAAGGTCGCCGAGCCGGAGGTGGCCTCGGTGCCGGCCTGGAGGACGGTAAGGTACTGGGAAGCAGAGAAGTGCCCGTGCGAAGTGAGGTACTGCAAAGGCGTCCTCGTCAGCAATCCTACGCACGCAAGAAAGACATGGTCGCGCACCTGCAAGAACGTGTACAGATCGCCGCTGAAGCCAGTGATAGTCCCGGAGGTGGGCAGGAAAGAGTAGACGTCGTTCGAGCCGTTGTTGCCGTAGTACAGGTTCCACGTGTGCCCCGCAAAGGACAGGCCGGTGGCGATGGGGATCGCCTGGCCCTGCGCGGTCCAGTGGAACGAGATCGGGCCGGAGTTGAAGTTCGCGAGCCAGATCATGATCTCGTTGACGTTCTTGCCACCGGCCGAGGTGGAGGTAAACATGTCGTACGCGACGTCGGCGACGACGCCCGTCTTGTCCTGCTGCCAGTTCCAGAACGACGCGATCTTGTGGATGGACGAGATCGGCTGGTTGACGCCCTTCTGCAGCCCGATGGTCGTGTAGCTCTTGATGCCGCTACCGCCGGTCCAGGACCAGGTCGTCGCCCACGAGATGACGGCCTTGTTCAGCGACTGGACGTGCGCGCAGTCAGAGCCGGAGATGCCCTTCCCGATTCCCCACTGGTTCAGGTAGAGAATGTAGGGGTACGCCTGGACGCTGTCGTATTGGCCTTGGGAGGTCTTGTCAGCGACGGCAAGGAGAGCGGGCTGGCGCGCAGGCACAGGAAAAGAGGCTCACCGCAGTGCGAGGACGTGTCGACGGCCCGGGCCTCCAAGGCGTTCTCGACGGGCACGGCAGCCGCGAAGTGGGCGAGGAGCAGCAGGGCAGCGGAGATCTTGGCGAACATGGCAGAGGAGAGGAGAGAGAGACGGGAGCGGGTTGGAGGACCAGCTTCGCAATTTTCGACTCCATTTAAGCGAAATCCATTCGATTCTCGGGTCAGGAACCGAAACAAATCTTCGTATCGAGTCCCGCCTCGGTGACAGCGTCCGAGAGGAGCCAAGAGCCACGAGGGCGATGCGCGATGCAAAAGCACCGAGCACTTACTTTATAAATAAGTATTGACTCCACCTGCTTCATCCTCCCGTGGCCCATGGCGCATCCGAAGCGTGGAGGTCGAAACAACGGAACGAGCTGATGAACGAGACCGAGAGAGCAAAGCGAGCTTGCAGCAGGGCCACGCCTATCGAATCGATGGTGCGGGCATTGATGAGTATGATCATGATCCGGGATCTGTTCGTAACCACAGATCGAGCGTCGATGCTTGAAATTTTTGACACGCCGACGTCCGCCGCCGGGCCGACGAACCTGCATACAAACAGCTGGGAGCACGTGGTATTCTCATCACACACACATCCAGCGCGACGCGCGTCAATTAAGCACTGCCAATTTTTTTTGGCTATGAGCGTCGGCTGACAGCGAATATTCCGAGGCTTGGCACTCTACCGCTTTGAATCTCTCTATGTAAAAACTGTGCAGTGCACCTCGCTAGAAATGGAGATTTGCGGACCTTTTGAACGCCTGGGCCGTTCTTGCATTTCAAGTAACGCCGAGTCACCGCCGAATGGGTCACGTCGAACCCTATCATACGAACGTGTTCGCAGGTCCGGTAATCGTTCTAATTTGGGTTCAGCGCATGGACCGCCATGCGAGTTCCGGGCCCGTGCGGCCATTGCTGGCCTCGACCGCAGCGTAAAGGGGTCGGGTACTGGTAGGACACATGCTCGTTGGGATGACGCAGCCGGCTGACCAGAGAAGAAGAGGTCCTCGTCATCGAGCCATATGTAGACTGCAGTCGGCTCCGGGACGAAGGACGAAGTCCGGTGCCGGCTTCGCGTTTCATGATGACGAGAGCACTGTTCAGGGCAAGCCGTAAGGGAAGAGCTCCTGGTGCTTCGGAGCGCATGTGTCGACTATGCGTTCCATCAATGTCATCGGAATCGGAATCGGTCGCCGGCGTCTGTGGTGCATGGGCCACTCAGTCTCAGCTGACACGATTCTATTGAGAGCATTGGCGCTGTCCTATGAAAACCCACAGAATGATTGGGAGAAACGTATTCGCTCGGCGCAAGAAGTTGTGAGGGTGAGACGGGAGGTCGAGGCCGCCGAGGAGAAGGCTCGAGAGAAGCACCAGGTTGGTAACGGGCAAGCAGCTCAAGACGTTGACGTTCCGCGCGCCGACGGAAGCCCAGGGTCGATGAGAACGAGCACTCTTGGATCTTCCTCAGACCCAAGTCGTCGCTTCGCCTTACCCTGGTGTACATATGTAAGTACACAGTCGCGATTGCATGTCTCGTCTCTGAGTACTTGATGGTCATTTGATTGGATGTGAAGAAACCCGCTGGCAACTTGTCTTGTTTGGCGCTTGCTTTGTACATGCTACTTATGGTTATTCCAGGGTCTGGCCAGTACTTCGCTTACCTACCGACATCAGGGGCGTGGTAAGGTATGCCGCATGAGGATCCAGGGACCCTTAGTAAGCAGTGCGTGACAGTCACGTGACGTTCAAATTCACAGTCTGAAAAACGTAGCCCTTCTTTTCGGTGTCATTATGGACATGTATGCACCCAATGTGATCCAAAATGGGTGTCCGAAGGATAATTGAATTTCTTTACGGCTACTATGACTATAGAAGGGGATCTCAACGCCGGCAGCACCGCCACTTCCTAATTGGGACGTCACGTGAATGGTCAAATCTTCCGACCCAAAATTTAAAGATGCTCAGTTCAGTTGGAAATCACTTTCTACAATAAAAGAAAACTTTTGATGCAGAATTCTTGAACCTCACATCACGCTCTCCAGGAGGCAAAATAAAAAATTCTACTCACATAGCAGGTGTGCTAAAGGCCTCCAGAAACACCCCATGTGAGTACTTTAGCTATATTCCCTCCGTGGCCGTCGTCATCTTCCGTCGCTGTTTGTCACAGTGTGACGCTTACAAAGGGTCCCTGGATCCTAATGCGGCATACCTTAGGTCCCCAGCTACTCCCTGTTAAGTCAGCCTGAAGTACGACCGGTTTCCGGTCTGAAATTGAGTGCGAATCGCTCTCAGACTTTGAAATTATTGACCGGCTCAGAAATACAAAACCGTTCGCGAACTTTTCGACATCCTTGACCCAAAATTTCTCCCCCGCTGACCCCAGTAGTTGCACTACCGCAAGGGTGATTCGTGAAATACGGCCAAATCAACGTCATCATTATCAATTACGCTGGCCAAACTCCATCCGAACGCGCCGCAAATGAGATTGGACGTTAGACTGAGCAAGCCTGAATCTGACACACCGAGGGCGCCGGCAGCTGATTTGGTCGTGCAATCAACGTTTCGAGGTGATACCGCCTCAGAAGGTAGTCGGGGGTCGGGCGTTCGCTACAACTTGCCAAGGAGAGATTTTCACCTCGACGAAGGTCTGTATAGTCGGTCCGCGGATACATTTGAAACACGGGCCCTTGGTGATACTTATAGCGCTGCAAGCGGCCAGGGACACCTTCCATAAAACGGACCAGTACGACCCACTGCCAGCGCCTTCGGTAAACCTCCCGCTAGGCAAACGACAGTGCAATGCACTTACTCGCAGGCTGGTATATCGTCCCTGTAGCGACTACTGCACTCCTCTTCCTGTACACCCGCCTCAACGACCGCCGACTCCAGACCGTGCCTGACCGAGTGTTGTCGCTTTCGCCCCATCGATGGACCAAGGAGGAGATAGAGAGAGAAAGCACTATTGACCCCCACCACTCGCGCACTTTGACAGATCCGTGATGCGCGGTGATGTTGCGTGAGTAAATCCTATTCACCCAAGCTTGTGCCAAGCTGTAGATACCTACATAGGTTTTAACTGCTTATAATTTTTTTTTGGCTGTTCTAGTGTCTTTAAAAGTTGAGAATCTCCAGATTGCTCTTGATTTGAGGCTATGTGCATTGGTGGAATTCAGGGTCCTGGAGGATCTCCATTTTGTATTTTAATTGTGAGTGAACACATCACAATGTGAGAGACCCATACATCAGAGAAATATAGATACTAAAAAATAGAGAAGCAGCACTGTTTCGTTTTCAGCTCCGGACCACATAACGGTACAAAATGGCACGACAAGTAAAAGAAATCCAGCTACAGGATCGAACGACAGAGCACAATCCATTCCACACAGTGTTAATGTCGGACGGTCACAGCGTTGACCACTAGAACAAGGAAGCTTCCCCTGTAGAGAAAACGTTATGGATTTCCTCACGCCCTTATCACCTTCATATGCATGTTATTGAGCATTATCCAGTGACTGTTGGTTTTATTATTTATAATATTTTTTCCATGAAGCAATACAAGAGAAGAGAGGCAAAAATCGAATAAATAGAATCACATGGCATGACTTAACGCGTCAGACATTCCACGCTGAGAGTCCCATGCATTAATTAGATTATTTCATCACTGCCATGGAACATCATTGGGTGAATAGGATTTACTCACGCAACATCACCGCGCATCACGGATCTGTCAAAGTGCGCGAGTGGTGGGGGTCAATAGTGCTTGGTGATAGAGAGCACCGCAGCCAGGCTCAAGGCGTCGCCGAACTCCGTCTCTGAACAGCTTCCGCCGAAGACGGGGAGGCGGTATATTGTTGTGGGCGGGGTGCGTGCTCGATCTACTCGTCTCTTCCTTTGCATCCGACAACACATTAGGCCGGCTTCCTGGGCGGCTGGATCGTCCGCCAGCTGCTGGACCGCGGCGAAGAGCCACACCACATCCGGGTCATCGACATGCGCTTGCCCGTGCGCCCCGACCTCAAAACGGGGCCGGCAACCCAAGTGCAGTACCTGCTGTCGGACATCTGCGACCTCGAGGCTCTGAAGCAGACCTTCGCCGCACCGTGGCCCGAGAGCGCAGATCTGGCGTCAGAAATCACCGTCTTCAATACGGCAGCGAACATCCGATACTTCGAGCGTGACGTGGCGTTTCTGCCCCGCTCGACGAGAGTCAACGTCGATGGGACGAAGAACGTGCTCGAGGCCACTCGCACTGTGGGAGCCACTGTCTTGGTTTACACGTCTTCAGGGTCTGTGGGACTACGGAAGAATCGATTCTTCCTCTGGCCGTGGGAGCAGGAGCCTGCGCTCTTCGTGCAGGTCCTAGCCGACAACGAGCCCTTGCCGGAAGGCAACTTCTTCTCGAACTATGCTACGACAAAGATCTCGGGGGAGCGTCTGGTCAGCGAAGCGGATCGGACACCGTCTTCAGGAGGGAAGGTGCTACGGACTGGATGTATCCGTCCAGGTAATGGCATCGTCGGACGCTACGGCGATGTTATCTGCGGTACGTTCGTCGTTTTTTAAGTGCCACTGTTCTGATGCCCATACAGAGCAGTACCTGAGAATGAAAGTCGCTCCGAGCTGGTCCAAGACCTCCATCCAGAGCTTCGTCTACGTCGAGAATGTCGCTCTCGCGCACTTACTTTACGAGCATCGTCTTCTCGACAGCCGCAACCCGGACATTGGTGGACAGGCGTTCTATATCACGGACCCTGGCCCAGCTCCAGCGGTGAACGATGTCTATAATGCGATTGCGACGCTATCTAAGGAGAAAATCACGTTTCCGACCATTTCGCCCACGCTGATCCTGCTCGCGGCGGTACCTCCTCCCTTCTTTCTTTCGTCGTTCCTTGAAACTCATCGTCCTGTTTTGCAGCACGTCAACGAGCGGTATTGTCGCATCCAAGCGCTCCCATTGCTCAATCGTGTCCTACCGGCAGTGAGCGGCGACATCCTCAGTCTACAGCCGGCACTCTTCAATATCACCAACTCACATGCGATATTCGACGATTCCCGGGCACGGCTTCCAGCGGAAAAGGGTGGGCTGGGTTACCGGGGTGGATGGACAACATTAGAGGGTGTAGTCAAAACGGTCCTGCTTTGGGATGACGCTTCCTCATGAGAGTATATGCGCTCCGCCCAGTCTGCATATGCGAACGAATCGATTCATCTGCCCATCTCACGCAGTTCTCAATTCTATCTATCTCGTTGTATACCCTAACAATGTAGCGAATCGGTCATTCGTCCTGGACGTCTTCGTAGCTGATGATGTGCTTTCCTGCTTCCTTCATGCTACCTGACTTGCGAAGCACGAATAGTTTCGACGTGACATCGTCTTCATATACAGGCAGACAACGGATGTCCATATATGTCAAAAAGGCTGAAACGCTTTCTCAGGCGCTTCTACATGGCGGTTTCTTCTTGTTTGGTCTGTGACTCAAGTCAGCTCTTACCTCACACTGCATTGTTCTTTGCATTCCGCTCCCGAGATGTCAACAACATTGGTTGATCCTGCGACGGCTGCCTCCGCCCAATCGTCCATAGCCGAGGAGGAGCCTTCTAACTTGGATGCCACCAAAGCTGTCGATGCCAAGGTGAGAACTATGTATGACACCGCGTGTACGTGCTATTATCTGAATGTCAAGGGTGGTAGCACCCCGCGTCTGAAGAGAAATCAAAGCGACAACTTTGCAAGAGCAAGTCACGCAGAGCTCCCAACGGCCAGGTCTGGGCGCATCGGCAACAAGATATCTTCAATCTGTACAGAAAACTTTGGTCGATCAGCATGCTTGAAGTCGCTGATAGTGAATACCCGAGCGAGAAGCCGTTTTCTTCGACAGTGATACACAGCAGCTGGAAACCCCATTCCGAGCCAGAGCCCGAACCACGCAAGTTACGTATGTGGCCGGTGATCACCCTAGATGGAGACGTAGAGAATATGCCCGACGATCTTATCAAGGACCCAACCGTGCCGGAGGAGATCCCGAAGCCAGACAACGATCGGACGCCTAAACTCACACAACGTATCCCGTTCGCGATGTTACCAGAAGTGCTTCGGGTGAAGGATTGCAACGACCGCCTGGGGTCTGGCTTGGAGAAAAGAGAGACGACTACGCTCGAATATCAACGCGTCTATCCAAAATCGGACAAGTCCATTGACCCGAAAGCTCCTCGGACACAAGCCGATCTCGACCTCCGCGCCGATTACGATCTCATAGGGATCGGGCACCGTGCCACCGTTTCTCGGGCAGACATCACCCTTGAAGCGCCCTTCGGCCTCGTTGACCGCTCCGGGCCCCCGAGGCTGCGCGTGATAGCAAAGATTTCAAACGACGAGACAGCAGACCGGGCGATGCTCAAGCATGAGGCACGCGTGTACACTGACTTCCCGGAATATCTGAGTGAGGACTGGTCGGGGTTCATTGGGATCGATACCATGGGTAGCGAGGGGGGGAAGTGCAGTCGTGTGGTACCCGCTGGTGCGGTCGTCCCGAAGTTCTACGGCTACTACGTCCCGGTACCGAGTGACGGCGCAGACGACAAGCAAGTCGGAAGGCCTTTCATCCTGCTCGAATATTGTGGCAAGCCCATCCAGCCATCCAAATTCAATGAGGACGAGAGGTGTGTGCTCATCCCCTGCCAGGACACAACCGAGGAGCCGATATTCAATCCCCAGGGGCATCTGCATCTCATTTGCACACCGACTTCATGACGAGCACGATCTCATTCAAGGTTCTTACTACGCGCGCAACCTGCTCGTCCAACCCGGCCCCTTGACGCATCCCCCGCATATGCGATCACTGGAAACACCCTCGTTTCGGCTGATCGACTTTGGTCGCGCCGAGTTCAAGGCTGGACACGATGAGGACGAGGAGGCGTGGGCTAAAACCTATCGCGTGGAACGGCAGATGGTCTTGAACGCAGTGCTCGGCGAATTGCAAACCTGGAGATGGGGTGACATCAAGATATTCGAAAGTAGGCTGGAAGAGTGGCCCAGATATTATACGCAACGGGCTTACTGCATCCCGGAGAGCTTTTGGGATCATGACGCGGCTCAGAGAGCCCGTCCGGGAGACGAGAAACGTATGTGGGATGAACTGTTATCTTGGAACATCCGCTTTTGAATCAGGACGAACCGGCCTGATACCGATTGTTTTGTCAATTCGACACGGTTTCTACGTAGTCATTGGAGAGAAGTGAGACATAATGAAGAGTTTCTTGTGGAAATGAACTTTCGTCAGGCCACGACCACAATGCTGATCCAGCTAATTTTTCACATCGATTCTGTCTGAACTAAGAACATGACAGTTCATGAGACCCGGGACATGGTCCCTGAACACGGAGATGCTAGCATTTGCAATACGGCGTGGAACTTAGAATTTACGGCTGCGGCAAGTCATTTTGGTTCGTGGAAAAACAGCAATGGCCTGACTGCCATGATCATTACTCGAGTTGCGGCTGACTTGACCGACCTTCTACGCACTAGAACTGATCGGCATGTTTGCCGAATGACTTTTTGACTCGCACCCGCCGGCCATCTAAGCTTCCCATCCGCAACGATGTTCAGTCAGCCACGGATGCTTTCTGTAGAGATGGAAATGACGCCAGATATCGTGGGATCTTGTTTCCGCGGGAAGCCGCAGTCTCGAGAGCCATGTTTCCCTCTGATTGACCATCGCAGACTGGTACGGCAACAAATTCATTCAATTGATGATTATTTAAGCTCTCGAATCTGTGCTAAGAACGTGCGCCATCTGGAGAAACACGATCGTTCCAAAGCACAGCCGAAGCGTACTGGTACTTTTGTTGGGCCTCATCCATCAATTGATTGTTAAGAGATAGCCATTATTGAATCTACACAGGGATACCGCATGCCGTTTGAATGTGCTGCCAATGAGCCAAGAATCCGAGCACGTGCGAGCAAGGAATGGTGCTGGAAGAATCGGAAAGCCCTCACAAGTGGCAGTGTAACTGGAGAGTGCTTCACGGTCACCTGACGGATGAAAATCATTCTACTCGAGTAAGATTGGTCTCGAGAGTTAGACAGCGTGAGAGTCGATCATGCTACGTTTGCAGTGCAAGTGAGGATGGACTCCGTAAAGTCAACAAGCTGCGTATAAGGTACCAGACATCATGGTATCTTGTAGGCTGCATCTCGAAATCGAGGTGTGCCGTGGCTGTACTCTCAACACGTGCTTTCGATCATCCGAGAGCGTCACTTTGCTACGCCCCCTCAGGCTTTCACCCGCACTGGCAAGACGACGTAGAAATGGATGCCGAACACTAACTTCTCGAACGCCAATCGTCTCAAGAGTCAATTCGTGATGAACGGCATTCTAGGCGGCGTCCCCGTTTTGATGTCCGCGTCGCGCATGCATATAAATTGATGCGTCTGACATGCAAAATTTCGACCCTTCGACCCTCTATGCGGGATTTCCCGCCTGAGCTGGTGGAAGTGAGTATATTGTACACATGCCACTTTGTCCTCCATGAGCACTCACACATGCATCGACAGTTCACGCTCGACTTCCTCCACGATGACCGCCAGTCGCTCGTCCGCTGCAGCGAGGTGTGTCGCAGCTGGGTTCCGCCGTCCCGCTTCCATCTCTCCTCGCTCGTCCTCCGGCTGCTCAGCTTCTGCGGGTCGTCCGCCCTGACCAACGCTCCCAATCACTCCGACACGTGGCTCCTCGACTTGCTGTCCAGTCCCTTGTGCACCTTCGCGCCTTTCGCCGCCCGCCGTATCTGCATCTGCTCCGTCAGCTCGGCTGCAGCGCTACAGGAGCTCGACAGAAGCAAACTATCGCGCTACCCGGACTCGGTGTTTGCGTACGCCCGCGCGCTGCACCTGAAGAGTTCACTTTGGGATGCGGACATGGCGGCCATCGCCGCGGGAAGCAAGCTCAATCCCATGACGTGCGCGAATCTGACGGAGATGATCTTGTCGTGTGTTTGGTTCCAGTCAGTGCGGGACTTCACGGCCCTGCTTGCCTCGTTCCCAGGCATCAGGCGCTTGCGGTTGGACAGGGTCCATTGGAGGGATGTAGAGGAAGGGCGCTTGGTGGCACCCAGCATTGAGTGCACGAGGGATCTGAGAATCCTGCATGTGGACTATGGCTGCTCCCGTGTAGTCGATTTCCTGCGCCATCTCAAACCCGGAGCGCTCCCTCACCTATCCGCATTCCACCTCAAATCGGCGGACGTGGAGCTTGATCCGTCTCTCGACATGACAGAGTTCAGTCCCGTGTTCGCTCCTGCGCTAGAGCAGGTCGAAGTCGGCTTCTATGTGCTGAACCCATGTCCGTCCCCATGTTCTCGTCACTTTGCGCCTGCTGACGAAGGTTGTAATACAGCCAGCCTCCGCAAATACCGGGTCAACTTGTCCTGCAATACGAGCCTGCGCAGTCTCCATCTTAGTCAGATACATCTGCAAGGTCCCGGGTCTTCTATCACTGACCGCGACTACGTCGACTGGATCACAGCGATTCTCTCTTCCGTCCACTCAGTGTTTATCCAAAACATTAGATTCGGTATTTGGATGAACGCTGCGGAGGATCTCGACAGCCTTAACTGGACTGAGATCGGCCGGACTTTGAGATCAGCTGCCTTCGGTACCCTGCAGCTCGTACAGATCGAGCTGTTCGGGCTGTGGTGCACGGATGAGGAGAAGGAACACACAGAGAAGCGGGTGTCGGAAGGTTTGGGCACAGGGATGGTATACAATTTGACTTTCGTTTGGCATTGATTCGGCCATCGCATGGCCGGTCATACTTAGAACTCTTGTTATAATATAGCAGTAGGCACCACTAATACTGAGACTTGGAAACTTCCCAGCCCGTTTCAGACGGAGACGGATACTAGCCATTTATTCATGACTTCGGATTGTGCCAGAATCCGGATCGCGCCAGAACTATAGTTGGTGCTTGATCTACGGAGAAGCCAAACTGCAGAACAATATGTTGCTATCAAGGATGACGAGGTTTGTGGATTGTCAGTCATGTGACCGTAAACCTTTTCAGCATGGGGCCTCTCTCTCGGTCACTCTTTATCCCACCGGCCGTTACCAGGTCGGAGCCTTCTTTGTCAAAGTCTTCGCCTCCAGTGGTCGAGAATTGACAGCTAGAACTGATAATCCCACGGTACACCCTCCATTACGTGTTATCGCCAAATATCGTCGATCCATTGTCGTCCCAAACAGGCAGACCAATGACAGGCTCTCACAGGCCTTCTCTTTTCGACCAGTCTTCAGCTCAGACCAGCCCTTCCTTGATTCGTATCATTCTCTGCACGCCTCTTCAAAATGCCAGCAGCACGGTCCGCCGATGACGATGAACCCTCCAAGACATCCTTGCCGTCCAACGTGAATGATCCTGTCGTAAATGCCCCTGACTCTGTCGAAGCGCCGGACAACGAACCCTCCTCGACATCTTTGAAATCCGGTGGGGATGATTCTGATGTGGATGCCACTGGCTCTGTGGAATCGGAATCGGAATCGGAATTGGAGGTGAGGGTTCTCTCTGCTGCTGTGCATAGTGTGCTGTCTCTGACTGTCGAGGGCCGCAGCTCTCCGCGTCTGCAGAGAATCCAGATCGTCAACTTTGCAAGAGCAATTCGCGTCGGGGTCCGAACGGCCATGTTTGGGCGCACAGCCGGCAAGACATCTTCAGTCTATCGAGAAGACTTTGGTCAATCAGCATGATCGAAGTCGCTGATCGTGAATATCCAAGCGAGAAGCCCTTCTCTTCAACGGTGCACAGACACGGCCGGGAGCCCCCTCTCGAGCCAGAGCCTGAGCCACGAAAAATGCGTATGTGGCCTGTGCTGACCGTAGATGGGGACATGGAGAGTGTGCCCGACGATCTGCGCGATATCAGGGACCCAACCGTGCCGAAGGAGATCCCTGAGTCAAGCTGGAATCGGACGCCGAAGCTGACACAACGTATCCCGCCCGAGATGCTGCCCGAAATTCTGCGCGTGAAGGATCGCAAGGACCGCCTGGGGTCCGGCGCGGAGAACTCGAAGGCGGGCAGACTCAAGTATCAGCGCGTCTATCCCAGACCAGACCAGTCCATCGACCCGGACGCCCCCCGCACGCAAGCCTCCCTCGAGTTCCCCGCCGAATGCGACGTCATCGGGACCGGGCATCATGCCACCGTCTTCCGCGCAGACATCACCTTCGAAGCGCCGTTCCGCCTCGTTGGAAGCTCTGGCCCTCCTAAGGTCCGTCTCACGGCGAAGATCACGAACGACGCGAAGGACGACCGAGATATGCTCGAGCATGAGGCACGGTTATACCCCCGCTTCCCGGATCATCTGAGTGAGGACTGGTCGGGATTCATTGGGGTAGACAGCATGGCTGGGGAAGTCTGGGACTACGGGCCTATCCTTCCTCCTTGCGCGGTCGTTCCCAAGTTCTACGGCTACTATATTCCGGTACCGAGTGAGGATGCAGACAACACTCAAGTCGGAAGGCCGTTTTTGCTGCTCGAAGACTGTGGCAAGCGTATTGCGCCATTCCACTTCGATAATGACGAGAGGCGCGTGTTTCGTTGTCAGTCGAGACTTCTTCGACCCGCTGACGGACAGCCCATCCCCCAGGAGCATCTGTATATCGTTCGCACACCGGCTCTTCGACGAGCACGATTTCATCCAAGGCTCCTACTATGAGCGCAACCTGCTCGTCCAACCCGGCCCCTTGACGCATCCGCCGCATATGCGTTCGAAAAAGACACCCTCGTTTCGGCTGATCGACTTTGGTCGCGCCTCGATCAAGGCCGACTATGGGGGTAGCGAGTGGGGGTGGGATGACGCCTTCCACGATGAGCGACAGATGGTCCTGGACACTGTGCTCGGCGAGGTGCAAACCTGGAAGTCGGGCTTCGAGAAGTGGTACTGCGGTGTGCAGGAAGAGTGGCCCAATTACTATACGGACCGGGTCTACTGCATCCCGAAGAGCTTTTGGACGGGCTATGGTATCATGAGAGCCCATCGGAAAGACGAGGAACGTATGTGGAAATCCATGTTGGGTGGCAAGGGAACGCGCTATTGAAACAGAATAACTTTTCAGTGAGACATTGGTGTCTAGGTACAGTAAGTATGTACTCATGCAGTCATTGCATGATGTCTGTCTCTAGTAGAGATGCAACCAAGCTTCGGCTACAGCCACGTCCAAGCTCATTTCAAGGAACACTGTGATCCAACCGGAGCCCAGGTTTTCGTTGCTGAACGTACAGGTGCTGGCATCCGCAGCACAGCTTGATTCCTCGAATAGACCAGTCCCAGCGAGGTATCGTGGTCCGCGGACAAGCACTGACCTCACCATCAGCACGGGAGTCACGGCTGACTTGAATATCTGCATCCCAGAACTGATCCGGCACGCTCTCTCACGGCTTCTTGAACTCTCACCCCACCTCCCATCTTCGCCTCCCATCCACAGCAATGTCCACTGAACAAGGGATGCTTTCTGTGGGTATGGAAGTGAAGCCAAATATCGCGGAATCACATTTCAATCGTAAACCACCGTCCTAAAGAGCCATACTTTCCTCTGATTGGCAATCACAGATTGGTACGATAACGAATTCATCCCAGTGCTACTTCGGGTTCCGGGTCTGGTAAGTCGAGTTGCTCTTCTCTGCGCATCTTAGGGGAGCGAATGAGCGTCACAGAACTCTATCACGCGCTACAAAGCCGCGGACTCTGAGACCCCCACATGGGTTACGATGTATAATTTTGGGCCGTCGTCTGAGCCCATCACTACCGAGTTCTTCGCTCCACTGCTTGCGGTGGCCTCTGCCAACAAGACTGCGGTCTCGGCGAACACAGTCAATGTCAGCCGGTTCATGTACAAGCACGTATCGACTTGGACGGCTCCTGGACTGGCCTCCGAGGACGTACCCAGCAAATTTATTCTCATTGCTGCATTGGACGTACTGCCAGAAAACGAAGAGGATTTCAATCGGTGGTAAGTGCCGGTTAGAGCCCTGCCGTCCGCGGTCGCGTTTCTGACTTCGATGATGCCCTAGGTATGCAGAGGTATTCGATTTTCGCTGATGCCGCTTTTGGTCTGAGTCGACATGTTACTGACACCCCCGCAAACGTCCAGGAACATACCGAGATGTTGTCAAGAGTACCGGGCTGGAAAGAGTGCCGGCGTTACAAGACTCTCGAGCACAAGCAGATAGAGACCCCAATGACCGTTTCGAAGCCCACGTGCAACTACATTGCGATCCACGAATTCGACAATGGAGCGTTCCTTGAGACCGTCGAGTTCCAGCAGGCGGTCACCACGGAATGGAGCGAGCGCGTCTTGGAGAAGTGTGGCACGAAGGAGAAGAGGGTGCTGGCCTTGCATAAGCATTATCGGGTGTAGTTAGCAAGCCTACTATAGTGCAGCGAAGTGAATGTAAATGAACTATGTACGTGGATCCAATCTAGTGCGATTTTATCTCATCAAATTGATGAGATCTTCGAAAGCTTGATCACAGCATGTGTCACATTCTGCCCATCTTGTCATGTACCTCGACCCGACTTTAGGTGACGACCAACGTGAATCAAGGAGGCGAGGGAATTGGCCGTTCAAGATGAAGATGGCAGCACCCGGAATATAGGCTTATCTAAAGCGATACGGAAGGTCTGGATTTTGGAAACAGGCGTCAAATGGGGTCTGGGCAAGGACAGGCGGTTGACGGTTTTCGTCGGCTGAATATACGAATCGCACAAGGCACTTGGCTCTCAAGTTGATGACTATGGTGAGTGGTTCTGCTTCGTGGATGAACAGTCCTTGGATCCGTCAGACTTCAGTCCATGGCGTACTCCACCACCTGCACCCCAGAACTGACACGTTGCGGGGCATCAGCCCTGGCCCAGACCATATAACCCAACTTCTCGTCCTCTATGCGCCCTACCCAGTCTACGAGGATACTAATCACCAGTTATCCCCGAGTCGTCTTGCGATAGTTAGCTGGAATGGTCCTATTCCGTGGACTGCTCTCATCGATGATCCCAGAATACTATCATAGACCATCGATTCCGGTGCTGCCCAAGACTCCACGTCTGGTGATTCCGGCATCTCTTTCATCGCCTCTGTGTGGTAAACAAGCATCCAGCCTCATCGTGCAGTCCCATTACTCGCTGCAAAACTACTTGCTCACAAACTCCGACGCTATGATGCGCAACAGCGGCTCTTCCGGAACCATCCTCAATCCTCTCGGCATTTGCTGCGCGACTCAGCAGCGATAACCGCAGCGACTGTTGACCGGTGCATCAATCGGCACGCCGGTTTGACCCAATGGATAACCTAGGAAGACTTGTCCGACACATCGCTCGGAACTTTGATGGTCATTTCTGAGACCATATGACATCTTACTCGGCTGGGGATTCCACATACATCAAACAATACAATGCTCATATCGGTACGTGGTTATGCACGGAGTTCGAGTACAGTTCACGTCGGCTGAAATATGAGACGCATTCATCCAGGATACAGGCGACGCCGAACAAGTTCACCACCCATGCTTTGCCCCACCTTCCTTCTTCCTCGCCTTCTCCAATTCCGCGGCTGCGACACTCGCGTGAGAGATGCCGTCACGATATGGAGCTGAGCGCGCTGGGTTGGCGTTCGCCGCGCGTGTCGACCTTGGATCGAAGGCCCCGTAGCTCTGTGGATGTCCGGCGACTGGTATTTGAGGCGGACCTGCAGAGCACATGTAGTGTGGTGCCGGTGCGAATGCTGATTCCGCTGGCCATGCGGAATATGTCGTCCGGCTAGACTCGCTGGCAGTGGCCCAATCCCTTGTAGCCCGGCTCACCGTTGACTTGAATGAAACAGTCGTCTCGGAGCAGAACGAAGATGCAGAGGATATGCTCGACGCGTAGGACCAAAGGGCCGGTCCGGTGGAGCTGGGGGCGACTGTCGCCGCGGTTGATGGAGTCAAAGGCGCCCTGTACCTCATCCGCGTCACATGGTCTGCGAGCGGCCCGGGTGGCGTGGTCCGACTGCGAGATATCTGGGGTCCAGCGTATCGCTTTGCTTCGGAGACGCCAAACAGGACTTTCTCGCTTCCCGTCGACCCACACTCCCATGTGTCACCTCCCACAGAAGCGTGGTCGCTTCCAGGAGCGGTCTCGCCCTCTTTGGAGACATCCACTCGTGGCAGCAGCAAATGTCTGAAGAAAGACTCTGGCGTTAAGCAACCGGATTCCTGAGTAGCGGAGATGGGGATTTGTGTGCCTGTGGGTGTGGGTGTGGGAATGGGGCGAGGCTGCCCAGGGGACGCTTGCTCTCGATAGCGCCGTGGATCATCTTGTGATCCTTGCATGTGGTGCGGCGAGCGTCTGCTGTGGGAGATCTGCGCAGGCCCTACAGGCACCGCATTCTTTTTCGCTAGCTCTTGCGCAGCGAACTCCTTCCAACTTCGGTTCATCTGGTCCCCGTATTCACGCAACAGCCCCACCATCTTCTCGTAATGCTTGTGCTGAAGCACCTTCTGCTTGGCCGGGTCCGAAGCAATCTTCTCATCATATAATGCCAGGAGCAACTCGGTATCCGCGTGGAAAGCCATGCAGTGGAAGCGCAAGAGCTGTTCAATCCGAGTGGGAAAGTCCATCTCGAGGAACTTGCGATGTGCATCGGGTTTCTCGTTTCTTTTGCCCATGAGGAGGACTCGTAGCAGGGTGGGACTGTAGTACTTGTTCTTTGATGGGTGTTCCTGGATGAAATTCCGTATTTGGATGGCGACATCCTGGAAGATGGGGTGAGTTTCTTCGTCCGGAAGAATGCCTCGGAGCCGTCGCTGGAAGACTGACTTCATCAACAGGATCAGCATGATTATCCGCTGCACGGATGTCATCGTGCGCTCCAATGACATGCATGATATCTTCCTCGACGAACGCACGGAACTTGTCCTGTTCTTTCTGAGCTTTGTCGCATAAGGCCATCACCTCTTTGAAGCATCCTTTGCCGACGAGGGTTGCTATGTGGCTGGCCAGCTGCGTGTGCTTGTCCCGGAGGATCTCCTGCAGCCGACTGTCCATCTGGATGCGAGCTTGGGCTGTCAGCAGGTGCCGCCGTGCTTCTTCGTTCGCAGCCCATCGGTTATCGAAGGCATTCATGTTGTGCAGTGTATCGTTGTTGGTCGCGCAAGTCCTGTGGTCAGGGAGGGGGCCAAGTGCAAGGCGCTGACGCCGTTGACTCCCTTGAAATAGCCATGGCTGCCTTGCGCGCCTAACACTATTCAGTCCTGTGCTTGTCTGTACTCAAGCGCCCGTCGATTGTTCCTCTTCTGGTGTTCGGTCTTTCCTTAACATGGGAAAGACGGCCACACCGGCTGTTGGCCCACGTCGTACTCATAGTTGAAGCTTTGAGATCGTACGAGACAGGTGCTTAGCGAATATTTGGACTTGGTACATTCTTAAGGCTCCCCGAGCCGGGCGCACTCGTATCTTCCACTGAGCGATACAGCTATTGCTGTGAGAAACGTCGCCTTCGTGTGAACTCGGAGAACTGATTCTCCGGACGAAGCTATTGAACGTGGAGTGAGAAATGATGTACAAGCTCTCCGAAGAAGTCGGAGCTACCTTAAATCCGACTCGTTCATGACTGCCAAGAAGTAATACTTATGAGTGTGGTTAATATGGACTACGAGCAGCCAGGCCCTTGCTAGGTCACTATTATTCATATTCGGGGTGTGGAGCTGCATGGCGCGATGGCCGAGTGGTTAAGGCGACAGATTCGAATCACCCTTATCTGTTTCGGTTTCCGAGCGCAGGTTCAAGTCCTGCTCGCGTCGCATGAATCTTTTGTCCTTCCTCTTTCCTTTTTCGTTCCTGTCGCTTGCACTGGCCGTCCGGCCTGCCCATGAGGTCATTGATCTTCGCTCCACAAAATGACGTCAGTATCATACACGAGTCCATAAGAGAGTCCAGGATCTGGACCGACTCATCACGAAGCTTTACGAACCGTACAACCCGCGCGCAGCATAATCATGTCGTCCGAAGTATCATCCACCTGGAATGTTGTCTTGTATCTGCTTGCCATGTGAGTCTCGACGCCGTACGTGCAGCGCATGTCCAGTTCTGACACGCTGTCTAGTTTCATCCCACCCCTCTCTGTCTTCTTGAGTGAGTACTGTTCCGTAGTCCATGCGCGATCCCATTGATCTCACTGCATAACGCAGAACGCGGGCTCTTGGCAGGTCTGTCTTCCTCAATTCTTGGGTCTTTCTAGTTCTCAAGGTCATCCGACTCGGCCTCTTTAGACTTCTGGATCAACCTCTGTCTGACAATCCTTGGATGGATCCCTGGTGTCATCCACGCCTGGTACGTTCGGTCGCCGAGGTGTATGATCCAGAATTGACTTCATCACTATGATCGGCAGGTATGTGATCTCGAAGAACGAGGTCACTCACACAGAAGCGAAACTCTGAGCTCGGGTCTCCCACAATGGCAGTTATATGGCTGCTATCCAAATTTGCCCCGTATATTCGATGGACCCGACTACATTAATATGTACTTTTAATTAACAGTTCTAAAGCTGATCAGATGGATGCACACAATTTTGGTCAGCAGTAAGTCCCACGGGAGAAAAGATGTGGAACATCGCAGGGCATTCATCGATCTACATAATTCAGAATTGAATAAAATGTCTGATAAAATCTCCGGAACAGGGAATCGAACCCTGAGCTATCGCGTGGAAGTTGACAAGCGGATACATTCGCAGCTCGCAATGAGAGGCGATAATGTTAGCCATTACACCATTCCGGATATCGGGCCGGGCATGAACAAAGTCACCATGCCGTCATGGATCCCAGACGTCATTTGCTCGCACCCCAATCAGGCCAGTTATGACCGATTGTCACGTGCAAACCTTCCGGTCCATTAGAACGGCTCCTTCACTAGCGCTGTTAAACGTATCTCATGAGACTGTCTCCGGCAAGGGGTCTCCCGTTACGCATCTCTGAAAATCTCACCTATGTCGCTGGTCCCATGATGGTCGACGTCCAGTCAATCGAACGAAGTCGAGCGCTGTGAACGTCGCTGAGGTCACTAAGGATGGCAGAGAGACGAAAACCGATGTCATTGGAAATGCCGTGAGGGATTCGTTCTGACAGACATGCCCCCAACATATCCTACCCTCATTCAAGTCACCTCACGGCAGTGCTTGTACTGCCTCTGTAGCGACTGACGTATACCAACTTAAGACTTCAAGCAGCTGTGCCTCAAGCTAACAGCCATCCCTTCATTCTCCCTCCATGTTGCCTCTTCATGCTCAAGCTCTCGTTGGGGCCCCTGCCGCCACCAAAATCCGGCTTTCCCTCCTCGCCAGCGCGATGTGCGACGCCCTGGGCGGACCAGCCGAGTTCTACGCCCGGTTTTCCTTCCCATTTATCGCGCACATGGAGCCCAACGACAACTTTCACCTGCCGCCCGGTGTGTGGACGGACGATACCAGCATGGCCCTCGCGCTCGCACGTTCAATCGCCACCAGCGCCTCCGGGTTCGACGAAGCTGATCAGTTGGACGCGTACTTTCGGTGGTGGGACGCAGGCGAGTTGAGCGTAACGGGGGTGTGCTTCGACATCGGGAATACGATCCAGCGGGCGTTGGTTTTGTACATGCAGGAGTTAGGCAGCATGGGGCAAGAGCACGGCGGCATTCCGAGTCAGCAAGCAGGGGAATCGATGAGAGACTCTTCTCCAAGCGGCCGGATGAAGTGCGCCCAGGCGGCACTGCGGAAGATCGCTAGGGATCTCAAGGCTCCCGTATTTGGTGGGAATGGATCTCTTATGCGTGTTCTCCCAGTCGGTTTGGCTTACTGGCGCTCGGATCTGTTGGAAGTGGCGGATTTGGCGAAGCGCAGCAGCGTCACGACGCACCCCAACCCAGTCTGTGCCGAAGCTTGCGCTGTCTGGTCCCAATGCATCGCGTTGGTAATGCAGAACGCCACTGTGGAGAATGGGATGATGACCAAACTCGACGTGCTCCACCACTTTGCATCGTTTGAATACAACACCCCTGCTCTTGAGCAGGCTCTCAGTTCAATACCACCTCCTGCTTCCGAGTCCAGGGCTCCCGCCGATCTAGAAGCACATTACAAGATGCATCATCCCATCGCTCGCCTCGCGAAAGAGATGCAGCAGGCGGCAGCGGAGTGCGGACCGGCCTCTGTCGATCTCAAAAGTCAGATACTTGCGATTCTCCCGGAACCGTCGGTGCTTCCCTCTTCTGGATACGTCGTGCACACACTCTGTGCAGCGCTCTACGCCTTCCTGGCCACATCCACGTTCGAGTCTGGGGCGTTGCTTGTGACGAATATGGGGGACGATGCAGATACCGTCGCCGCTGTCTACGGTGGCCTTGCTGGGGTCTGGTACGCTTCAGATGGAGATCATACGGATGGACTATTCTGGACTCCTCTGGTGCGCGAATGGATGGATGTTCTGGTCAAGAAGGATCTCTTGGAGACGGTGGCAGAAGAGCTTATCCAGTTCCAAAACTGAGAGATTTGTGTCCATTGATCTGTGTTCCAGAACTTTCATACTTGCGGTCTTGTGCAAATGCTAAGCAGCTCATGGTGTTATGACAGCATTTCGCCCACCTGATTACCTGCTTAACGATCCCATGGAAACTCCTATCTAAACGCTTGACTCTTGCCCTTCGCGGGTCAACAAGTTCTGAGACCCAAATAGGGGAGACAGTACATAAACCGCGGACGAATCTGGTATCATCTCCCATCCTGTTTGACCTGAACCATTATCATGGGCTTCTCTACCTCATCTACTTCTTCCTCCTCTTCGTCAAGGGCTTGGATGGCCATGCCTGGGGCCTTTTCCCGATCTTCCACTCCCATGGACGATGTGCTGTCTCGAAAGTCATCCGTTGAATCCGCACCCTCACTGTCCTCGGCATCCTCGTCGGAAGAGTCGCAATGTTCGTCTGTGAACCCCAGAAGGTGGTCGACGGCTACGAGCATCTCGTCAATCTCGGACGACAAAGTTGCGGTCAAGCCCATACCATTGACGAACATCCTTCCAACGCACGAGATCGTCACTCCCATCTCCTTTGAGCGTGATGTTGTGTTGACGGATGAACAATGTATGTGCTTCGTCTCGCTGCCGTCTGTGACTCCGCGGGTTTATCGAATGTCTTCAGTGAATAACCCGCCGAGCCTTTACACTGAACGCGAGATAGTTCTCACGGATGAGCAATGTGAGTGTTTGCTGATTTGCCCGCTTCTCAAACAGCTCATCTTCGTCTTACTGTATCAGTCAAACGTCCACCAACTTTGCGAGCGGCCAAGAGAAAGCACCAGTCCAAGTCGGCTCGAGTGAGGCATCATTTATCCTCCCTCGCCCGACCAATGTCGCCATTCCATGCAACCAGCAAGTCTGCGTTCAAGGCCCCTGCTCTTGTCGACCCATCTACGCTCACGCGGCACACGACTCCCGTGCACGAACTCATCGATACGGATCAGGGAGTGCTGCCGAAAGGACCCGCGCCCGCTGTTCTGTCAGCGCGGTCTGCGAGGCAAGCCAGAAGCAGGACCGGAACAGAAGGCGTAGAATCAGGCGGCGTTCTATGTGAAGGCTGGTGATGCGCCCTAGGCAATCTACCATCTTGTAACGCTGCTCTGTTTTTCGAAATAGAATTAGAAGTGCTAGACTGAAATCAGAAACTACAACCTTTCAGAAACTGCAAACTCAATGAGACAAGACTGGAATGATGATACACGGATGAGATTCTTTCATAGTAATACAGGTAGATATATATGTGCATGTGCAAGTGCGAGTCAGATTACAAGGCCGCAGGTTCCGCGCGAAAGAATTTAGTCAACTTCCTCAACACTCGGTCCCTCGCCCGAAGCTTGACCCGATGGAGCAGCACCCCCTGGAACACCAGCACCACCATACAGCTTCTGCATGATAGGGTTGGCAACGGCCTCCAGCTCCTTTTGCTTCTCCTCATACTCCTCCTTGGATCCCTCCTGCGATGCATCGAGCCACGAGATGGCCTCGTTGACAGCAGCCTCGAGCTTCGCCTTTTCGCCCGGCTGGAACTTGTTTGCGAGATTCTCGTCGTTGATCGAGTTTCGGAGGTTGTAAGCGTAGGATTCGAGCCCGTTCTTGGCCGCGACACGGGAAGCAACGGCTTCGTCCTCAGCTGAGAAAAGAGTCAGTCGTTGTAGAAGATATGACTGGAGCAAAGCTACACACCTTTGTACTTTTCAGCCTCGTTTACCATGCGATTGATTTCCTCCTGCGACAAACGGCCCTTGTCGTTGGTGATCGTGATGCGGCTCGACTTGCCAGTCGTCTTGTCCGACGCAGAGACATTGACGATCCCGTTCGCATCGATGTCGAACGTGACCTCGACCTGCGGAACACCACGAGGAGCCGGAGGGATGCCCGAAAGCTCGAACTTGCCGAGCAGGTTGTTGTCCTTCGTCTGCGCACGCTCGCCCTCGAACACCTGGATCAGCACTCCGGGCTGGTTGTCGGCGTACGTCGAGAACACCTGCGTCTTCTTCGCCGGGACCACGCTGTTCCTTGTAATCAGCGGCGTCATCACTCCGCCGGCCGTCTCGATGCCGAGCGAGAGCGGGGTGACATCGAGCAGCAGCACGTCCTGCGTCTTCTCGGACGTGTCGCCGGAGAGAATCGCGGCCTGGACGGCTGCGCCGTACGCGACCGCCTCATCGGGGTTGATGCTCTTGTTGGGCTCCTTGCCGTTGAAGAAGTCGGACACGAGCTTGACCACGCGTGGAATCCGCGTCGACCCGCCCACAAGCACGATTTCGTGCACGTTCGCCTTGTCGATCTTCGAGTCGCGCAGGACCTTCTCCACAGGATCCAGAGTCGACCGGAAGAGGTCGCCGCAGAGCTCCTCGAAACGGGCCCGCGTGAGAGACGTGTAGAAGTCGATGCCCTCGAAGAGCGAGTCGATTTCGATCGTAGTCTGAGCGGCCGAGGACAGCGTGCGCTTGGCCCGCTCGCAAGCGGTGCGGAGACGACGGATTGCACGCAAGTTGGTCGAAAGATCTGTTTGACGGTCAGCCATTGCTCTTTCGCCCGTCAAACAGTGAGACGCACCTTTCTTGTTCTTGCGTTTGAACTCCTGCACAAAGTGGTCGACCAGACGGTTGTCAAAGTCCTCGCCACCCAAGTGCGTGTCCCCGGCAGTCGCCTTGACCTCGAAGACACCGTCCTCGATGGTCAGGAGCGACACATCGAAGGTTCCTCCGCCGAGATCGAAAATGAGTACGTTACGCTCCGCGGCGACCTTCTTGTCGAGGCCGTATGCGATAGCCGCGGCAGTGGGTTCGTTGATGATGCGGAGGACGTTCATTCCCGAGATCGTGCCGGCGTCCTTTGTCGCCTGGCGCTGGGAATCGTTGAAGTAGGCCGGGACCGTGACGACCGCGTTCGTGATGGTGCCGCCGAGATACGCTTCAGCCGTCTCCTTCATCTTGAGGAGCACCATAGAAGAAATCTCTTCAGGGGACTGTGGCTGAAGTCAGTTTCGAGTCAAAGCAGGGGAGCAAGGCGGACGCACGAATTCTTTCTCTTCCCCTCGATACTCGACTCGGATGTAGGGCTTACCAGCCTTGCTGAACACGGTGAAGGGGAAGTGCTTGAGGTCAGATTGCACCTCGGCGTCGTCAAATTTGCGTCCAATCAGACGCTTGGCGTCAAATACACTGAGAGAGCGTCAGTAAGCGAGTTTCACAACTGGGGGGTAGGGCAGGACATACGTGTTGCGCGGATTCATTGCGACCTGGTTCTTCGCGGCGTCACCGATGAGACGCTCGCTGTCGGAAAATGAGACATATGAGGGCGTCGTGCGATTGCCCTGGTCGTTGGCGATGATTTCGACACGGTCGTTTTGCCAGACGCCGACACACCTGTAAATCGTTAGTACGTTGTGAATGATAAGAACGAAAGACAACATACGAGTAGGTTGTGCCCAGGTCGATTCCAATAGCTTTCGAGGAAGACATTTCAGAAAGATGGTCAGATGCGAGAAGATGGAAGATGGGTTGGAATGAAGAGAGGGAAGAATGAGGAGGACTGCTGCGACACATTCAGCTAATATACCCACTGCATAGAATGTGCGGGAAACGAGTAGAACGTCGGCCGGCCGTACGCGCATAGGGTGGAATGTCATGGAAGAGAGTGGAATGCCGCAGAAATTGCGAGAATGAACATGATAGACCGGAACCCAGACTACGACAGAGCTCCAGCGGAAGATCTGGGCTAGTCTTCGACATGCTAAACTGGTCCCGATGCTCAGAGCGTCAGCTCGCGATGGATGGTACATGCGACATGTTTGTTGAGCACAGAGAGCACTGCGCGTATGCACGAGGGTAGAAGCATGTCAAATAGCAGGATTCCATGAGATGACCGTTATGCTCTGTTCAGCTAACACATATGGTGCGCAAAGGCTGAGGGCGTCGGCCGCTGTGGAAGGCCTCCTGGACGCATGCACTTCATGAATCATCTGATGACTAGTGACAGCGCGATCACGTGAGGTCCGTCGTGTTTCAGATAATTTCGCCAGGTCTTCTCGACGCGAAACCTGTCACATCTCAAACGACTCTTCGCCTTTGCGGGAGAGCGCACGCTGATGTCGCATTAAGCTTGAGGCGTCGACAGCAGATCTCTCCGCAGTCCTCCATTTTCGTGATCTCAGGCCGAGGGTGCCTTCTATGGAGGCCGGGAACAGCATGCTGATTCGCGGTGCGAAATGAGATCGCTGTCTGATTGATTGATCGCTGCACGTGTTCGGCATCATTCACGGCATATCACATTGTACTTTGTTGCTTGTGCTCTGTAAGGTTTATAAATGCTAGTAAATGTTCACACTAGTGAGATACCATATTGTATGTATGTATTCTTGTTAACGAGCGTTGATTTCCCCTGGTCCTGAAATTGATCGGTCACGTGCAGTTTTGATGAGTCAGCAAGGTCGCCGAAACACTTTCATGTGATCCAGTCTCATTATTGCGGACGCCCTGGGCAGGAATAGGCCCACGGACACATAGGGTGAACATCCTCCAAAATAAAGTAAATCTGGCCGAAAGTTTTGACTTTAATCCTCCGGGAAATAGCGTAAAAGTGCCTCAAAAAGGGCAGCAAGCCTCTGGAGATAGCGTAAAACTTGGCTAGTTCCCTGCCGATCTTGAAAGATTTGAGCCCCAGACCAGTGTAAAATCGGGTGGAACCCGGCCTAATCCGGGCATTTCTGACTTGAAATTAGGCATCTGGGCACATGTACTCTCATCAGTCGTCAGCAAGACTAATTTCAACTGGAAATGTACTGAATTTGGTAGCCTATGGGGAATCTAACAACCGATATGATCAGAATAATCGCTTACCTGATCGTTTTTTCTTGCCCATCGTTCCCGGCTCCCAAGCGCTGCACCATCCAGCCGGTTCCCGAAGTACATGGGCATGACGGAAGTGTCGGCAGCTGTCCTCGAAGTCACGGACAGTGGCGAGACCACAGACCCAGAGTTGGATCTCTCGGAATGGATTGGCATTGAAAGAGTCTACAAGGACGTCCCATCGGTGGTCTTCATCAATTCAGGGTCTCGTAAACGCGTAGCGGGAATAGCCACTGTGCGTTCAAGAGGTGGTAAAGGCCTAGAAGCTTAGGGAGAAAAATCGAATTAACCCTTCGAAAATAGAGTAAAGGTTGCTCAAGATGTCAAGAAATTGAATGTAAAAGTAGGTAGGCTGGCGGAGGATGTTCACCCTATGTGTCCGTGGGCCTATTCCTGCCCAGGGCGTCCGCAATAATGAGACTGGATCACATGAAAGTGTTTCGGCGACCTTGCTGACTCATCAAAACTGCACGTGACCGATCAATTTCAGGACCAGGGGAAATCAACGCTCGTTAACAAGAATACATACATACAATATGGTATCTCACTAGTGTGAACATTTACTAGCATTTATAAACCTTACAGAGCACAAGCAACAAAGTACAATGTGATATGCCGTGAATGATGCCGAACACGTGCAGCGATCAATCAATCAGACAGCGATCTCATTTTGCACCGCGAATCAGCATGCTGTTCCCGGCCTCCATAGCCTTCCTCTTTTCGCGAACAAACGATATCTGGAAGCAGTATGAATGAGCATCTGCGACGCTTTAAGCGAGCTCGATGTGCGAAAACAGCGTCTAGGTGTGGATCTGTCGAAGTCAGGAACAATCGATGATCGACTGGGACCCCCTGAATCGGCTACGCCCCTCTGAGTTCTTTTCATGTTGCTCCCAACTGCCCTCCGGCGGTGGAGGTCTCTCTCAGCATTGGTGCTGGTCACGGCTGCAGGCTTTCTCTGGTTATTCCACCTCTTTTTCGGATCGGTGGCCGCGAGCCTTCCCTTCCGGAAGTCGCAGGATCACTTCCATTGGACGGGCACGACGAGTACGGAGCCGGAGACAACGACCGGTCGACCCACTACCCGGTATCCGCCCACGACGATTCCCTCAGGCGCCCATGCGCACGGGTACACCCTGTTCGACCATATGTATCTGCGAAATGGCACATTCTACGTCGTCACCGCCAATCGGAGTGCGTTTCCGCCCATACCGCAGCTGCTCGCTCCTCCCCACTTGCTGGGAGAGAAACAAAAGCAGGATGCAGGAGATGCTGTGAGTGCAGTCCCATCGCGATCCGGTTCTCGCCATAATCGAGTGGTGGGCAGGAGATTCGATTCATCAGTCCGGAGGATGCCCAGGGTGTATTGGGCAAAATGATCACGCGAGTGGAGGGCATTTCAATTGTGGTTTATGATCCAGCAGAATATGCTCATGTGCGCTCATCCTGAGCCCGCCTCCCAAGCTCTAAATTCTACCATAGCATTTTTATCACTGGTTCGGGGAGATCCTCTTCGGATTCTGGCGCGTATACTCGCACATTCTCATGGACTCCTCGAAAACCGAACGAACGCTTGATTTCCCTCGGAAAATAATCTTGCCGGTGCGCACTTACATGCATGATAGTCCGCCGTGGCCTCACACTCTAATTAGTTCATGATTTACGGGGAGTGGCGCGACTCTGCCGACATCGACGGCCCCTTCACGCGGACCGTGTTTCCGAATACGGGGCTTGAATTCGCCGAGTACTGGCACGAGCTCGCACGGCTTGGCACCACAGTCGTCTTCGATCGCATGGGGTTGCTGAGCCGGATCAGCGCTCATAACCAGTGAGTGCGTCCCCACTTTCGTGCTCCTCACTCATTCTATCTATGTTCAGCCCCTTGGCAAATCACTGGGGAAAGATGATGGCCGGCACCATGGAACTGTCTGCGCCGCCTGATTTCTGGGCGCCCATCCGTGAGGCAATGTGGCAAAACATGCTGGGCTGGGTGCCGGGAAGCCCGACTCCGGCCAAGACATTCCAACCAGGCCACTCCTCAAAACCAGTGGTAACGTACGTCCCCCGGCAGCGCTACCCGAAGCGAAAACTCAGAGATGCTGATCACGAAACACTCCTCGTCGCGATGCGCGAATTGGAAAGGGAGGGGCTGTGCGAGTTCCAGGTCGCAGAGAATGAGGTTGTGGCCGTCCAGGATCAGATCGCTATGGCTTCGAGAACGACGGTGAGGATCGGTAGTCTGTTTCGCTTATCGATTCCTGATTTTGAGGCCGCAAGATCATGCTAGGCGTTCATGGAAACGGATTGACGGTCTGTTCTCCCATTGCCACTGAAATGAGCTATCCATTTAACTCTCGCCATCTAGCACGAGCTTTGGATGCCTCCGTCTCCACAGTCGACGATCATCGAAATATTTTCTCCGCAAGGTACGTCGCCCCAGCCAGCCTGTGGAGCATACCTGTGATCAAAACTCAGGGTATGTTTACGACTACGAACTGTTGGCACGAAACCTGGGGCACAAACATTACGCCATCTGGAATGACACATATATCACATATGAGCCAGGAATAGTCCATGAGGCGCGTCAGAAATGCTCCATTTCCGTTAAGCAAGCCTTGTTGACCAGGAACCTTTCTCCGACAGGGCACTCACTTTCCACTGGACTTTCAGGGTGATCAGATTCCAGTTTACGCACCGACAGTTGTTAAAGTAATCCGGCAGCAATTGAAAAATGTGTAATATGTCACCCCAGCGACCTCCAATTATGACGTAAAATTGCTTCCAGGCCCCCCTCCGGAGGCCATCAAACCACCCCCTACCCCCCCTGATCGGAGGCCATCCTGGAGGCGCCTTCCTAATTGGTACTCTGCCTAGCCATTCATCCACGGCCTGGATGGTGGACTAGGCATTGACCTAGATGTTTTTTTTTGGTGCTGTAGTAGTTAGTTTAAAACCCCAGACCATGTCCTAGTTCACAAAACCATATATTTCCTGCTCACAAATGGTAGACCACTGGGCGCACAAAATTTGGGATTTGAGCACATGAGCACTCCTCAGGTGCATGAAGGAACAATATATATATTGATTTGAGATTGAGCATGAGAAACAGGTGCCTACACACAAAAATGAGATGTTACTGCAGAAACAGTTTACTGCCTCCACAACCTCCCAGAGCATGAAAAAAGACAGGGCACCCACAGACCCTTGAGAGCGACTCTTGTATCTACATTGGACCCCGAAGATCAGCTTTAATGATAGCTCAGCATGTAGATCAGACGCTAGCACCAATAGCAAAACTGGCCTCCACTGCCTCCACAGCTAGGGACCAAAAGCAGTTACTGTGGATTCAGCCACATACCATGTTCATAATATTATATATCTTCATTTGGATTTGCAGGGTCCTCTCAAGCGGCCGCTCAGCATGTGAATTGGATGCCAGAGCAGATCACAGAAAAGCTCTCCACTGCCTCCACAGCTGGGGACTAAAAAATCAGTTTCTTTGGATGTAGCAGCAGAAACTATGTTTTCAATGTCAGGTGTCTTTATTTGGACACCAAGGGTCCTCTACAGAGACAGCTCAGCACATGAATTGGATCCTGGAGCTAATGGCAGAGCTGGCCTCCACCGCCTCTGCAGGTTATTACTTGAAAAGTCTGGGTGAGATGACAATGTTACAGATGGATATTCTTGTAAATAACTATGTTCTGCCATTTATTTCTCTGCATACTAGTTTGATTGCAATGGAATGTTGAAATTAGAGGATGGGGGACCCTGGAGGCACTGGAGGCACACACAAGATCCTATCAATATCATCAATATCATCAATATCATCAACAGTATCAATAGCATCAATAGCATCACCAATCATCGGTAGATTGATCAGCCAATCAAATGATGAATAAAGGTCCAACATTGAGTATATTCATTCTTGAGAGACACAGACTAGATGTATGCTCATAATAAAAGTGCATTACTGGTCCCAGTATATGCCCCTGGGACTAGAATGTAGAAGTATCCCAACCACTTCAACCGTGCACTTTTCTCTCCTTTTGATTATCATTCGCCCGAGCTAACTGTTGGCCGCGCAGCCAACACAATCATATTCAACAAAGGACAGGGCGCATATGTTCTACTATCCATGCTCGGGCTCGCGGTGATGGGTGTATTCCTATACAATCTTTCGGTCCGCTTCGGGGCAATGAACGTTGTCAAATTCTACTGGATCCTGTGGCTGCTGGTCATGCACTGGTTCATCATGATCACCTACCTGCAACACACGGACCCAATCCTCCCGCACTACCGCAAGAGCCAGTGGAACTTCCTGCACGGAGCCGCAGCTACCATTGACCACGACTTCCTCGGCTGGCAGGGCCGCTTCTTCCTCCATGATGGTGCATTGTGGGCGCTTTCATGCGCCTTGTTGGTCATGTGACCCATGGTCTGATTTTCTCTTGATTAGTGGTGCATTACAGTTGCGGCAAAATTGATTGCATTTTCTAATTTGGAAGGTGTCAGGGATTTTGACAGCGCAGACATTGACGCGCTCGCTCCACATTATCTCCATCATTTACAACCATGAGCACATCTAAATTCTCTATAATACAATCCACACCACCCCGTAAATGTGCAAAGACAACCTGTACCCCAACTAAACGGGCCAAACTTGTTGTCCTTCATGATGAATGCAACCTCACCTTTGAGGAGATTGCACAACAATCTCCCTTCAGGCATACAACTATCCATCCCACAACACTCTCCCAAACTACAATGCTGTGAAGAAGCATGATGGGGATTGCTACTATGATGGGAGGAAGGGGAAGTCTGGACGGAAGAGACACATTGATGAAGAGAAGCTGGAGGAGGCCATCAAGAAGATTGATGCCAGCGAGCTGATTGATGGGGAGGATGTGAGGCAAGAAGTGTTCCCTGATATTCCTGCAAGAACGGCTTGTGTTCTATGCTGTGGTATTGAGTTCCTCAGGCTGACATGTGGGAGGTGCGGGACACGCTGTCTTGTGCTGGCTTAAAGGGCTTTGCTCAGCGAAGCAAGCCTATCCTTGAACCTCAGCACCTCAAACAGCACCGTAGGTGTTGATCAAATGATGATCTTATCATCTGCCAGATGGATGTCGTGATACACATCTTATGACTCCATCACGTGTCATCTAGAGTCATGTCGACTCGTCCTAAATAGACACAAATAGCCCCCTGTATTGTATATAAGGAGGGCTCTATTACCCTATAATACAAGTCTCTTGACTACTCCCGCATAGTGCCCACACTAAGCTCTCAACTCACACAGGTGGGTTGCTAGACGCTCTCCCCAGTGCTCAACAGGTTATGGGCCCCGAGAGCTATGTCTGCGCCTCAATGGCCGCGACATTCATTGTATGCGCCGTCACTGGCTGCAACGATGAGCAGCGTCTTTAGCCTATCTGTATTCACTTCAGCTGCTGCACAGCGCTGGTGAAACCATGCCGGATCGCGATTACATCGCTTGATCCAGATGCATCGATCTCTCAAGGAGATTATGATCTATGAGAATCTGATCATCTTGATCTTTGATTTTATCTATCAGATTAGATTGATGCTGATTAACTCACACAGATCAATATGTCGTCCAACTCCAACAACATCTTCAATGCTGTCTCCATCTTTGATGGAAAGCACTGGCTCGTATGGTCCGGAACTATGGAGTCCTACCTGGAACATCAGGGGATCTCATATGTGCTGACCGAAACGGCGCCGACTGAAGTCAAAGCTACCGATGGCTCTGTGACCAACGCATCGTCGACTTCAACACCCTTCTGGAGGAGATGGACGCTCCTTCCGCCAAAAGGCAAGTACCCTGCCTTCTTGGGCACATGCACAATTCTGATTGTTGCTCACAGCCAGAGCGCGTAATCACCGCCGCCCCGGGTTCTGTACTAAATTCATTGATGATACGTTCGCATGATTTTTGTACCAATCTATTCTGTGTGCACTCCGATTTTGCTGCCTGCTCTAAGTGTAAGGGGAAACATCATCATCATGAATTAGGGCCTCTATGGCTTCTTGATTCAGGTGCATCTCTCCATGTGACATCGGAGATTAGTGATCTGGTCGGATATGAGAAGCTCTCAGATCCTATTGTTGCTCAGACCGCTGATAAGAACACACGTGTTGCCCTTATTGGTCAAGGAACAGCCTTCATCGATCATTACGTCACAAGGCATGGAGAAAAGACAATGGTGACTTCTCAGATATATCCAGTGTACCTAGTGCCAGGATTACATGGTCGTCTCATGTCTTTGGGCTCCTTACTCAAAGGAGGATCTCGCGTTCGTGGAGACGAATCGCAGATCAGCTTACATCGAGGGAAGTCCCCACTCTCGATCATGGAGTTTAGAACTCTAGGGAAGGACATTGCCTTGTACTTCCTGATGTCAAAGCCTAGCACGGCTGAGACAGTGCGATCCATGTCCACTGTTTACAAGGTGGATTATGAGATCATGCACCGGCGATTTGCACATCCGTCGAAAGACGTTTTACGTCAGGCAAAGAAGAATACCAAGGGCTTTCCAGAAGACCTAGTATTTCCCGAGGAAACCCGACCGTGTAAAGGATGCGCGCAAGGGAAAATGCACCAACGTGCCTTCCCGCCTTCCGAAAAACGAGCGGAGAATCCGTTTGATTTGATCCACTCGGATCTCAAACAATTTCCCACGGTGTCTTATCACAAGTACCGCTACTTCATGAGCTTCTTCGACGAAGCACTCTCCTATGGCTGGACAGTATGCCTTGCGCAGAAATCCGATGCCAAGCAGGCTATGCGCAATTTCATTGCGATGGTCAAGAACCAGTTCAATGTCACCATCAAAAAGTGGCATATTGACAATGGGGGAGAATTCATGGGGATGGGAATGGAAGAATTTCTCGCGGAACAAGGAATTCTAGTGGAGAAGGGTGCTCCATATGCTCACCAGCAGAATGGGCATGCCGAGCGCTTCAATCGTACAATCATGGATAAGGCAGAAGCCATGCGCTTCACTGCCTGTCTTCCTAATTCTTATTGGGAATTCGCTATTAAACATGCGACACGGATCTACAATATGACACCTATCAGGCGTCTAAAATGGAAAACTCCATTTGAAGCTCTTCACAAGGAAAAACCGGATGTTTCCGAACTCCGAGTCTTTGGTTGCGCCGCATATGTCTTTATCCCTGATGAGAAGCGCGCCAACAAGTTATCGCCCAAATCGGAGCTGATGACCTACTTGGGCATTCCTGATGGTGTGAAAGGATTTTTGTTCATGCGCACAAACAATTCCACGTTCGTCGCCACCAAGGCATTGTTCGACGAGGAGTTGTTCCCCCGCTGTCCTGACAGCAATCGACCACCCCATGTTCCTGTTGGAGAGGAATTTCCAGAACGTGATGACCCAGTGAATCCACAAGATCCACCACAGGTAGACGGAGAAGATTGGCTATATGGAGATAATCCTTTTCCATTTCCCATGCCATCTGATTCGGCTCCACCACCTCCCGTACAGGGAAATGATGATGGTGACGACGGTCATAATCGTCAGGACCCACCGCCAGAGCGTCGGGATGAACCTCAGAGGACTCGTAGAAGTAGAATTCCACGACCAAGTCGGGAAGCTTCACCAGCTCCTGAGCCTCGAAGGTCTTCACGCCAGCGGAATGTGCCTACACGTCCAGGAAACGTCTATGGGGAAAAGCGTACCCCTACGGATATAGTCCGTGACATTCAGAACAGCAGAGGATGGAAGCGGTATGTTGGTGAAGATAAGGGTAGCTCCCAATCTCAACCATCAACCGGTGCTGATGCAGGGGTTCCCGGCCCTAGCTCGCAACCAGATTCCTCAAACGCGGGTGCTTCTGATGATCTAGACGAGGATGCACGCATGGAGAAGCTATGCCGGGAAGGGGGAGTAGAGCTCATCACGGCGCTGCTGTCAAAAGCGGTTCCAAATGAGAACCTACCTGATACGTCCAAAATTCGCGATTGGACGTTCCGCGATATCAAGCGGTTGCCTTCTGAACAACAGAAAGGTTGGATTGATGCTTGCCGCGACGAGTTAGAGGCACTTCGTCAGCGCAAGGTCTATTCCCTTGTGGACCGCCTGAAAGGACGGAAGGTTATCAGATGTCGCTGGGTCTTTGACCAAAAATCTGATGGCCGAAAACGTGCCCGCCTAGTTGCCAAGGGTTTCAGTCAAGTCGAAGGAGTTGACTATGACGAGATATTCTCTCCTGTTGTCAGGTATGAGACGTTCCGGTTGGTCATGGCGCTTGCAGCGCTCAATGATTGGCATTGGTCTGGACTCGACGTCAGTAAGGCTTTTCTCTACGGAGAACTTGACGAAGAGGTCTACATGGAACAACCCGAAGGCTTTGTGGCGAGAGGCCAAGAGCGCAAAGTCATGCGCTTGCACAAGGCAATCTATGGACTCAAACAAGCTGCTTTAGCATGGTGGAAAGCGCTGACCAAGTCCACGAAAGCCATGGGCTGGATCCGACTAACATCGGATGCCGGCGTGTTCTTCTACAAGGACTCTGATGGCAGCATAGCCGTCATAATAGTCTATGTGGATGATGCACTGTTCTTCTCCAAGAACAAGAAGCTCCTTGCCTTTCTCAAGGCTGAGTTCAACAAGCGATGGGAATGCTGCAATTCTGAAGATACTCCAGAGTTCTTGCGCGTGCGCCTCAGTAGAGTAGGATCTTCGATCAAGATTGATCAGATTCCTTATCTCAACAAGGTGCTAGAGCGCTTTGGGATGCAGAACGCCAAGTTCGCAGCGACCCCTCTACCGGCTGGATATGTTCCAATGCCAAATGAGGATGAAGTCGATCCAGAGCTCAGGAAGAAATTCCAATCAGTCATTGGATCTCTTCTCTTCATCATGCTAGGCACACGTCCTGACATTGCATTTGCTGTGACCAAATTGTCACAATTTGCTGCCAATCCGTCCCAAGACCACCTCCATAAAGCGCTGTATATCTGCCGCTATTTGGCTGGTACTAGGAATTATTCGCTCATTTTCAATGGTGCGACGGATAGGGGGCTCATTGCATTTAGCGATTCAGACTGGGCTGCTGATCCGATCAAGAGGAGGTCTACCACTGGTTTCTTCACGAAATTGGCAGATGGGATTATTTGCTGGCAGTCTAGACTTCAGCGCACAGTCGCGCAGTCTTCTACCGAAGCAGAGTACATGGCGATTTCAGATTGTAGTCGCCAGGTGATGTGGCTGAAGAGCGTCCTTTCGGAACTCCAGTTCAAACTCACCATCCCAGTACCCATTTGCGGTGACAATCAGGGTGCACTCTTCAGTGGCAGCAATGCCTACCGAGACCGCAGGATGAAACACATAGACATCCGCTATCACTACATTCGTGAGCGAGTCGAGGAAGAAGAGGTTGAACTGTTCTTTATTCCAGGCAGTGAGAATCCTGCAGATATGTTCACCAAGAACCTAGGACGCGTCAAGTTCGAGAAGTTCAGGTCCCAACTAGGACTTGAGTTCAACTCGTCCTGAAGGAATGGCCGATGAAGATTTCGCTTTCAAACACTATCCTGTGGTTTTCAGCGTGGGGGAGTGTTGATCAAATGATGATCTTATCATCTGCCAGATGGATGTCGTGATACACATCTTATGACTCCATCACGTGTCATCTAGAGTCATGTCGACTCGTCCTAAATAGACACAAATAGCCCCCTGTATTGTATATAAGGAGGGCTCTATTACCCTATAATACAAGTCTCTTGACTACTCCCGCATAGTGCCCACACTAAGCTCTCAACTCACACAGGTGGGTTGCTAGACGCTCTCCCCAGTGCTCAACAGTAGGATGTACGAGCAGTACAGGAGCTGGACAGTCAAGGATGTCTTCAAGAAGGGCGTGATGATTAACTCTGATGAGTCTAAGGTTGCACTGTCATCATCTGATGGTCATTGTTATTGCCGCCGCTGAAGGGGACAGGATGTCTTGGCGCCCCAGAACATTCAGGCACATGAAGCCCATGGGAAGAAAAACATCAAGGTCAACATTTGGGGTGGTATTCACCCAAAGGGCGTCAGCAAACTTGTTCACATTGATGGAAATCTAAACAAGGAGAAATATGTCAAACGGTTGGGCAGAACTCAAGCGGCGTGTCAAGCGGCTGCCACATTACTCTTCCATCACCAACACCGACCAGCTGTTTGATGCGCTCTGTGAGGTCTGGAACTCGGATTTGTTTTGGGAATATGTCATCCATCTTTACAAGTCATTTCCACATCGTCTCGAGCAAATGAAGGAGAATAATTTCTATTGGGTAGACTACTAGTCCTAATCAATTGTATAGTACTTGCATTGTGTTCCAAAATTCCTTGAGTCGAGCCCAATAGCAGAGAGGAACAAATTCAATTCGAGATTGATGGCATCTTCCAAAAAAGGAAATGCAAGTGATCTCACCGCAACTGTACCACGTCATCCATCACTTCTTCCCCATGATGCTGTGGTACAGCGGAGCCAAGGCGACCAAGTACCTCAAGGAGATTGTCGGCCCGCACTACCACCGCTCAAACGACTACATCTTCAAAGCCCTGTGGTACAACTATAACTTTTGCCAGTTCATCAAGGACAAAGGTTTGTTTGCCTTCTAGTGTTGGATCACCCGTTTCCTTTTCATGCAAACCAACGCTCTCCAGGTGATATCGCCTTCTACCGCAACCGCCAGGGGAAATTGGCGTTCAACATCCCTGAGCTCAAAGCCAATGTACTCAGCAGCTAGTTTACGCAAATGAAAGTGGCAAAGGAATCATATGTGATTTGATGCAGCCGTGCCCCAATGCTTCCACACCGTCTGCTTTTGTTATATTGTTTGTAGTCGAGAATTTGCATTCAGTCGCTTGTCACAATCCATGAGTTTTTTGCTATTTCACAAGTTTCCATCCATACAAATAAGTAGCCGGAAATTTCAGTGCTGTTTCAGGAAATCTTGCAACATCCCCGTATTGTTTGGACAATGTCAACGCTCCCTGTCAAAATCAAACGATTGACCTCAGCTCACGAGGTTTTTATAGATCTACCCCTTGAAGGTAGCAATGAGACAGGCCGTCCTCTGAGAATCCATGAATATGAACACACAGTTCTCCCTCGTAATCAATAAATGATGCAATCCTACAATTGCGAGTCACGTGCAAAGTCTCCGCATAGCTGATGGCGCATCACGTCCCCCACCTCAAGATAGATCTCGAACATTTCTGACACCCTCTTTCCACACGCTGAGTTCTCTCTCTACGCGGACGGCTTCTTCGCGAATCAGTCTGCCAATGACACCACCCTCCATTCCAAAGCCTACAGCAAGCTCGGAGAGCGCGCGCTGCATAGTGTCCAGGGCGAGCCGAAGGCGGGCAGGGCCGCTGTAAGGGTACCGGTTTTGGTTTTGGTTTGGGGTTGGGGTTGGATCGGGCGATGACTCGTCTGCAGCACACAGCCTCGCAAGTTCCGCGAGCGCCAATCCGCGCACAGGGTGGCCCGGGGTGAGGATGGAGGTGAGACCAGATACGATCATGGTGGAGGTGTGGATCGCTGCGTCCAGTAGTGTATTGCTGGAGGAGGGCAGATCTTCGATGGCAGATGCGAGCTCCATTCTCGATAGAGCGAGGAGCGGATATGATCCCGGGTGCAGACCTGCTGAGCGTAGAATCGGTGTCATCTTCGATGCCAATTGGCGTGCTTTGCTGGGATCTGGGAGATGTAAGTTAGATGGAAGAAGCGGTCTCAATGCAGAGTTTAAACGCACCAGCAAACTGGACCCGCTCTGCCTTGGCCAAAGCTTCAGTGCCAACCCTGACGGCATCGATCACCTCGTCCGTTTTCCGAAGCACTGCTCTGCATTTCGCGCAAAGTGAGAGCGGAATGGCTGCGCGATGTGTCAACTGGTCGCAATAAGGATCAAAGAATAAAGCTACCATCCGTTGGAACACGGCAAATGCCATCGCACTCAGGGCGCTTGGGGCACCAGACTGCGTCTCGTGGGTCGACTGCCGCATCGGAGCACAATGTACAATCGCATGTGAAATGGTACGTCTCCAACAGCGCCTCCTGGCGCATGTGCCGCGGCAGCGTCGTGTCAATGTAGGATGTCAAAATCTGTTCTGAAATTGAGAATCTGAGTCCGGATGGAAATGATGACGCACACACCTCCTCCCCCGCCTGGATATTTCGAAGCGCAATAACATGCATCTCCCCGTCCCCGGTGGGAAACACCACGACTGCGTTCGGCTCACACGAGTGATTGAGCAGCGCAACCGTTGGCGATACGCAGGCTCCCAACGGCGCCAATGTTTCATCCGTGAGCGCGAAGGTATTGGTGGTGAACTAGCGCAACGGTTGAGTGGAGCACATGGGGTAATGGAATAACAAGCAACTTTTCCCACAAACTCCGCCAAATCGCGACCGGACCCGAAACCCATCGCAGCCAGCTCTGCTGGCGTCTGAACCCCCATGAAATGCACCAGAGCCAACGCAAGGTGGGTGTGCAGCGACTGCTTTTCTTGTGCCTGCTTGTCACTTGGCGCCGTGGCGGGAGGCGCGAAAGATAACCCGTCGACCTCGCGCACCTGACATGAACTCTATTCAGTGATGGTATGAGAGAGTAAAAGAGAAACCCGCCCACCCAAATGCTCTGCGCAGCCTTTGTCCTTTTCCGCGCGCGTCCCCAGGCCATACGTGCGAGACAGCGCACGGCGTCGCTCGGTAATGCGATATCAGATGGCGAGTCGGAAGGCCCAGCACCTGAGGACGCAATGACACGCCGGAGGCCCGCGCATTCAGGCTTATGTGCCGCCCAATCCGCAGATTGACAGGTCTTTAGCCCAACGTCGTAAACAGTCGGCAGATCGGTTCAAAGAAACGCACGTACGGATCCGCAATACCACACCACACGACAGAGCGTGCATCGCTTCAGCGAGCCTTCGTCCCTTCCAGCACGAAAACATCCGGAGCAGTGCGTTGCCAGCCGTCCAGCTGCGAGCACGCCCACGTGTGGGCGCGTCTTGATGAGGGTTTGTCCTTGAAGTCAGAATGAGAGGGGGTACAGCATAGACGGAAGACGCGCGCACCAGGAGTGCATCCTGCACCGGGACCCATGTACACACCCCGTCCCCTCACGGCGTCCTGTGAGACGCGTATTCGCAAAGCTGACGGGAGGGCTGCATATAGCCCTTCTGCTCGCCCAGAGTCCTCATCGGCGTCCCGTGCGTGTTTTGGTGACGATGCGGATGGTGCTGTGGTTCCCGCCATCTCCTCCACAGCGGGTGTTCCACCGCCTTCATCCTCGTCTGCTCCTCCCCTTTCGAGTGATGAGACATCCCCTACACCATCTACGGGAGAAACCTGTTCCTGACGCGGATGTGAGATCGAGAGCGAGTCGGATACTGCCTCTGAAATTGTGATAGGAACATCCGCTCTGCCGCCCGTCGACAGCGGGCTCACGTACGATGTCGATGCGGAAGACAGTGCTGGGGTCAGGCGCGCAGTGCGTTGTGCTTTGAGTTGCGCGAAGGAGCTCATGTATTGCAGACGGATGGTGGGGAGAGAAAGTGATGGACGGGGGCAAAACTGATTGACATGGAGTAAGGATGCGTTGGTCATGTTATCGGTGTAAAAATTGAAGTTGCCTGCCATGATGATCAGCCGGAGCGCAAGGAGGTGGAGAAGGTGCAAAAAGTGCCCACTGGCCGGATTGAACGACCGACCTTATCATTTCGTTACATACGAGTGACACATTCTACCACTGAACTAAGCGGGCGATGACGGCCGAGTAAGCCCGTCAAATACAATCCCCGCTCTTCACAAGCTGCACTGAAGGCATTCCAGTCGCATTCTCATGATCGCAGAATGGTACATGTACAAGGGCCTGGCAGTTGTCTAAACGAAACCGAGCCATATTCAAGACTGTTTCTCGATACCAGCGTCCATTCCCTATACCTCAGCAGGGCCCTACTTCTTGCCCTGTGCAGGATCAAGCGCATCCCCGTGTTTGCACGCGATGATCTTGATCCGCGGCGCATTGACGAGCTCGTTCCCCTCCATCTTGAACTGCGGCTGCTTGACGATGAAAGTCCACACGTCGTCGCAGAGACGGTACGTCTTCAGATGGCCCTGTCGCGTGTGCGTTTGAGCGGGCGTGCAAACCGGTGGTGTGCTAGGAGATCCGCAGTCACACCTTGAGCGTCGACTTCGACTTGACCTTCCCGACCAGTGTGTCTGCCAGCGATTTGTCGAACTGGACCAACGGGAGCGAGCCAATCAGCACCCGCGTGCGACGATCCGAAAGCCTGACACCACCAACGAATGCGGCCGCGGAGCCTGCCACCCGGTGGAGGGGTGTGCACGCACCTGCTGCAACACTTTCATCGCCAACTGTGGGGTGATCGCTCCGCTCGTGATTAGCTCGTCCAGTGAGTCGGTTAACGCCATCCCGATCCTGGATCAGTCACGGTCAGCCTGGCTGAGACAGGTGATGGCCGGCGGATGAGGAGACCTACGATGAACCTCGGTAGAACTCGTAGTACGCGGTAGCCATCGTGGACAGCCTGCGAGACGAGTAACGTGATGAGAAGAAGGAGGAGGAGGAGAGAGGGCGGTAGTGGCTGTGCCCCTTACGTTACTACGGGTGGAGTCACGGAACCGTCACATGAAGTTAGATCAAAATTGCAAATGACCTACAATCTATGTGCTACAGTCTCTGGAATGGACCGATTTACATAAAGAAAAGTGATTCATATCTTGCGGGGAGCTCCGGAATTGAGAGAAGAGAGGGGCGACACTCGTGATGGTATTCACTGCTCGTCGACTCGTTTGAGGACGGAATGACTCGAGCGTTGTCATCCAGTTGCCTCAAATATTTGCTTCAACAAGGATAGAATGCGGTGCTTCTCTACTGAGAATTATTCTGCAATTTTGAATCCAAGCTGGATCTTTCTCTTGACTATCCTGTACACGACAATATTCAGATAGATTCTGAAATACCAGAGGCAACTACAACGTCGTAGTGATAAATGCCGACTCACGATGGATCGAGCTCATCGTTTTTCAGGCTCAGATCTCGAATGTCAATTTCCACACACATAATCGCGAAAGAGAAGTTCATTCCAGATCTGATCCCACACTGGCGTGAGTCAGGATAAATACCGTACATACAAATCCAGCCAATAAATAAATTCCGCTGAATTAACTTGGTACTTGCCCAGTCACCCCGATTTCCACACATCAGCCACAGGGCAGCCCTGAATCCGCTCAGCATCTTTGAAGACTGCTTCGCGACCGTCTTTCAAAGAGATCCAATCAACGAGCAATCCGATCTAAAGAGCAGAGCCACGGACCTGCTTCATATCGGACGGGCCCGAGCTGATGGATGAGATATCCCGCGCTCTTGAGCTCAGGCCGGGGCACATCCGAGTGCCAGCCCACCCACAGCTGGAACGTATCGAACAGGCGGTATATTCCGCCGCGTTCGGGTTTGTACCACGGCTTCGAGGTCCATCTGCACGGCGTCCGTCAGATTTGTTTTCGGGAGCGACTAACAATCACGACCGTGCTCACTTGGATGTATGAAACCGGGGCGCGGACTTGTGATCCTTGGACATCGCTTCCGGGAGCTCATATGGGATGACCGATGCGAGCTTGCGCCGGGGAAGGAGCAGATGCTCGTTAACAAGAGCCACGACGCCCATGAGCGCCTTCAAAACAAAGGCCCCATACGCCGGTGCCGCCGGCTGCCTGTTTCGCACAAATCAATGTCATCGGCAATCTTGGAACACGCCAGGCACCCACATCATCGCGATCCGCGTCCGATCTTCCAAGATGGACCGTGTCAGGCCTTCCGCAAACGCGCGGAGCCCGAGAGCGCGGGGGACCCGGAAAAGAAGCTCGTTCGTGGTGTGGTTCGCGACGTCGTGGTTCGATTGCGCGGGGACCATGTACTGCTCCTCGTAGGACTTACGACATCGTGAGCTCATGCTCCGAGCGGGAATCTGGACGAAGAGGCGTACCTCGATCCACGCTTTGAACTCCTCCGGCGTGGATGGTATATCCTGGACGTTCAGCTTTTCGCCGATGTCTTTCCAGAAGATGAAGATCGCCTGGGACGTCGACGACGTGAGCTTCAGACGGCGGAACTGAAGCGGCGCGTTACCTGCTGTTCCATCGCAGACAGCTCCCGCCAGCCATACAGTCGAGCCCATCGCTGGAACGAGATCAATACAACACTGGTCGCGGCAAAAGACAATACTCAGGCGCACGGGAGGTTCGAACATAAACAGCCCCAGCGTGTACAGGTAATCGTCATTCGCCTGGTTGAGATCAGAAAGCAACCGCGCCAAAAAGTTCCCGCCACGTACGATCTTGTACTTTGAGTGCAGCCAGTTCGTGCGCGCGATGGCCAGCGCGGCGCGCGGGTCCTTGCTCGCGGTCGCCGCAGAAACAGGACACAGCATCCACGTCGCTACCCAGTCGGCCTCGATGTCAGCAGTTTCGCACGAGCCTCGACATGCGCAGACCGACCGATCAGAATTTCCGTCTGGATCAGAATCGAAGCGAGTTAGTTTCGGCTGACGGTTGCGGAATGACGACGCACATCAGCGTAGCGCCGCGCGACGTTGGCGTCGGACGAAAGCTGTCGAGTGTCCCACAGAAGCTTCGATATCGTCGGCTGTCCTCGAATTAGTAGCCGGAAATGGAATGCGTCGCCCAAAACTCACGATGGCGTACGTCTTGAACAGGGCAAATGCCAGCGAGTACTCAATCAGCAGGGGCATGTCGTACGACATCGCGACCTTCACGATCTCCTGCGCCTCGCCCGGGGTGAGGCTGTTCCGGTCCTGTACGAACTTGGCTCCGTACTTGCGGTGGATCGCGTTGTACCGCCGCCAGCGAAGCGCGCGCACCAGACACAGGTAGACGGCGAGCAGGGCGCCGGCGGCCAGGGACTTGGGGTGCTGCCGGGCGAGGGCGGGCAGACGCGGGAGTGCGGAGAGCAGGAGCTGCAGAGGACGGCTCATGGTCGTGGTCGAGTGCCAAGGGAGGTGAGGTTGTCCGGCACAGCTCCTGTCTTGGTCTCGGTGATCGGCGTGTTCGCACATTTGTCACTTCCCGCGTGGGTTGATCGCCTGTTGAACTATCCCAGGAATGGACAATCACTCTGGTCAACTGGGCGCGCCTCGGCTCCACAAAGACCCATTACCAGACCCCGGCCGCCGTGGAGAGAGACTTGTGACCAAAGGAATATCACGGCTGAGGTGCACTCGCGGCCCGAAATCGTCAAAACCTCTCAGCAACGTCGTGCGCGGCCCTGGTATTGTCCATCGCTCTGTGTCAGCAAGCAGCCAGCAATGTGCTCACTCATTGCCATTTACGACCTGATCGCAACCATCAGTTCGGGATCATTGATGCGCTTGATGGAGTATAAAGAACGAGCCCCTGTCAATAGGGGCAGTCAAATATGCCGATTCACGATCTGATTCAGGAAGCGATTCAAGACGCGATTCAGAAAGATCCTGAATCGTGGGAGAATCGCATCACTGGCGAATCGAGCGTGAATCGTCGAAACACCTCCAGAGGTGTTTCAACGACGGATTCTGCTTCTGCTTTAGCTTCACTCGACTCGTTTACAAGTCCATTTATGTCATAGGGGCACATGTTTTGTATCTGTTTACGTTTTTACAAGTGATGTGAGCGGCACAGTCACACTTCACACCGACTATGGCCAAGGCCAAAGCTTCCAACAGCGACGCGACGCGCGGGGCATGTGGAGGGCAGAAAAGAAAGAGAGAGAGACTGATTACATAATGGAGGAAACATAAGCCCACTCAAGAGAGTCAAATCGACAGTAAAGCAGAGTGCATAACATGGTGGTCAAAATCGAAGCGATTCACTTACGATTCAGAGACGCTTTGATGGTGATTCATGTGTCTAAATCGTATCTAAATCACGACAGAATCGTGTCTGAATCACACTCTGAATCACGTCTGAATCGGCATATTTGACTGCCCCTAATGTTCCAAGCTTCATCCAAGCTTTCATTCTCGGCGACAAATCATGAATTCGATCCGGTATAGGATTCTAAACTGAAACTTCCGGTCTCGGAATTGGATTTTTGACATCTGGGACAGTTCGTATTCCTAGTCAGCTAATTGCGGCTTTCACTGGAGCAAGGGATACTGTCGGCCCAAAGGATGAGTAGAGATCAACCGCTTGTCGGTGAAGTCCTCGATTCCAAAGTGTCCGTAGCCCGACGAGCCGCTGCAGGCCAGAGTAAGCACTCAGAATCAAGATTGAGACGGGAAGCCAGTACCCAAGTCCGACCAAGCTGACAAGCGGTTCCGAGTGGATAGTCGGTCCATTGATGTGGACAGACCCTGTCAATCGACCATCGGGGAACGAGACAGATTGTTCAAGGAGCCCACACACCTGCCCGAATCATCGACGCAATCCGCTGCGCGAGGTACATGTCCGACGTCCACAGCGATGCGACAAGGCTATACTCCGATGCGTTCGCGAGCTCGACGGCCTCTTCCACGGAATCAACCACCGCCACACAGATCACTACAGCACATGCATCAGCCGATCAAAAAGATTCGTTCCCGACAAGGCAGCCCTCGCACCAGGCCCGAAGGATTCACGTTCCCACAGCCGCATGCCGGGTTTGACACCCAGCAAGACGTGGGGCTGTACGACAGCGCCGCTTCGCGCGCGGTCCCCGAGGAGAACCTGCGCGCCCGCCGACTCCGCGTCGGAGATCAGCTGGATGATATTCTCCGCAGACGACTCCGCGAAGAGGGGCCCGAGTGGTGCTTTGGAGGCGTCAGCGGCGGTGGACAGCTTCCCCGCGAGGGTCTTGATTTCCGCGATTAGAGCTTCGGAGACACTGCTTTGGACGACGACGCGCTCGGTCGACATGCAAACCTGACCGGAATGGATCATCGCTCCGGTGACGATGGCGGCTGCTGCATCAGAGATGCTGGCGCCGTCAAGTACCTGTGGGACACTTCCACATGTAGATTGATCTCTAAAAAACGCATACACTCACCACGGCCGGTGCCTTGCCGCCCAATTCAAGCATGGTTGGCTTGAGATGCTTGGCTGCTTCTACCGCGATGATGCGTCCCACCCGATCGCTGCCGGTGAACTGATATCTCCTCATTCATCGGCGCATTCTTAACACCTGACAGACAGATGCACACGCACATTGATCTTCCGGACGAGTGGATGGGCGATAATCTGTGCAGTCCGCTCGGGTGCAGCCTCGCGAGATGTCGAAATTAAGTTGACCACACCGCTGGGAAACCCGGCTTCCTGGAACAGCTGGATAGCCAGCGCCTGCGTCCGAGGGCTGAATTCCGACGACTTGATCACGACCGTATTGCCGCACATGAGCGGGACGGCCATCGCACGTACAGTCAAATTGAACGGGGCATTCCACGTCGCGATCCCAAAGCTGTCGATTCGCGTGCTCGGTAGGAAATCCCCATCCAACCCGAACGTGAAAACTACCACTCACATGACGCCCATCGCCCGCTGCTCCACGACGCACACTGCCCCCGGAACAATCGCCGACTTGAAAGTCTTACCCGTGAGCTCGTTCGCCA